AACGAGCTGGTCTACTGCTCATCCACCTCCATGGCAGTCTCACCCGCGGCGACGGAGCCCTCGTCCTCGACGTTCTCGTCGTCGACGTTCTCGTCGTCGACTTTCCCGTCGTCGGCGTTCTCGTTGCCGGCAGACCCGTCTTCTTCACCCTCCGCGTCTTCATCCGAAGCGGCCTTGGTGGACTCGGCCGAGGTCTCGCTGTAGTTGTCGGAAAAGTCCAAGACCTGTAAGACGGCTTGGGACGACGACGCAACAGGAGGCGGCGATGGCGAAGGCTGGGGCGACGAAGAGGGCGCACGGGTGCGACTACTCGCCAAGTGGGCGACGTCGATCTCGTGGTCCTCGCCAGGTTGGAACGCTTGATCCTGGACGGTCGCGGGGTCCGACTGGTCGAATTCCTGGGCCTTCTCGATCTCCCTCTGGAACTGCTTCTCCATCTTTTCCATCTCGCGATAGAAAAACGGATCGAAGAAGGCAGGGGGTGCCGCGAACCGCTCGTTCGCCTCGCCATCCAACAAGTCCCCGTGGGCCAAGATCATCTGGACACCCTTGCGGATGTCGGCCATCTCGGCGGCGTCGATCTCGGTCGCGGTGTGGACGAACATCGCCTTGATGCGTTCGTCCGAGCCGTCGTCGAAATGCTCCTTCAGCTGACCAACGAAATCGCGGAACTGGCCAATGGCCAGGACGCGGATCTCGTTGGCCGTGCGAAGAAGCCCGCCGTACGCGTCCAAGGTGTCGGCGAGACGGTTGGCGGACTTGTTGAGATCTGAAAACGTCGTCAGAAACGATCAAAAATAGAAATGAATGATAAGAGTGGACTCTTACCGTCCGCGCTCATCTGCGCGATGTACCCGAAGCGTTGCCCCATATACAGCTGCTCCGCGGGCTTGTAGCCGTTGGTGCAAGTCTGTTTATAGAGCACGCACGGGGCGCACCGATTGCCGTGGCGCCCGTCGACGCTCTTGAAGCAGACGCGCTGCCGCGTCACGCACATCGCGCAGGGCCTTGGCGCGACCTCCTATGAAAAGGGAATCAGTCGTCGAAGCATGGCAGAAAGAGATAAAGGAACGCACGAAGTCAGTTGGCATCTCTACGCCGGCCCTTTCCAACTTCCCCGCGAACCCTTGGCGTGCCACCGAAAGGAGCGCCTCGGTGTCGTAGGCGGCGGGAGTGAACGGAGCTCGGGGCGTGGGAGCCGACGCCTTTGCAGGAGTCTAGAAACAGTCAAGTCAGTAAAAAGTCGACGACAAGAAAAAGTCGCGACTCACCGAGTCAGATTTCTTCTTGGCCGCCGCAACGGACTTTTCTGCCTTCTGAGCCTTGAGCTCGGCCTTGGCAGCAGCAACACTCCGCTCGCGACCAAGGGTCGCGGCCACCCTGCCCAACTCACTGCGTGGAGTCTTGGTAGCGGCGGGAGCCGCCTGGGCAACCTAGAAAAGAAAGAAAATTGAGTTAGTCGACGTCTGGAACCCAAGATTAGTGTCTCACCTTAGCCACTGGGGTCGGGGTAGTCGTCGCTCGCGGGGCGCTCGCCTTGCGACTGGCCTCCACCTTTGGCACCGGTTGGTGGGGCACGGACTTGGTCGACTTGGATGATCCATCCGTGACCTTCTTGATTGGCTAAAAAGCTGGATTAAGGGGCGTGGTCTGGGAAAAGGAGTCGGCTTACCTTGGGCTTGACGCGGGTCTCGTTGACCTGCTTCTTGGCCACGACGAAGTCGCCGGTCTCCTCTCCACTCTCGGAGGTGTCGTCCATGACGATGACGGACGGGGCTACAAAAGTATGAGTAATCGACAGAAGGGGACAAGAGGAAAACGTACTCAGATTCGATCGCGCTTTCCCCTTGGACTTGGGCCCCTGTCAAAAACAAACCAACCATGAGACGAAGGAACCGCGATCGACGAACTGGGTCACTTACCTGAAGGGCCAGCTCGTCGGCCGATGACGTGTCTCCCTCCTGGACCCCCTCGTCGTCGACATCCATCGCAGTGTCGGCGACGGCGGCGGCTTCCTCATCGCTGAGGGACTCAGGCTGCACGGGCTGTGCTTGGATCCGGGCTGGGAGGGACCAAGTGGTTAGTCTAAAGATCAATGAAATAAGACATAGGATCACACACCTGCGTGCGTCTTCTTGTGGACGCGCTTGGGAGGTGACCCCTGTGGAACAGGGACCGAGGTAGCGGCTACGACAAGTCAGTACCCGCGACTCTGGTGAATGAAAGGAAAGAGCCACTTACGAGTAGGCGCGTGGGACGACGCCTTGGGCTCCTTTGCAGGAGTCGCCTTGGGTCGCTTCCCCTGCGACTTCTCGCTCGACTTCTTGGCGACGGCGACCTTGCTGCCCGCGACGGCGGCAGGGGCCTGCGGCTTGGAGCCGTCACCCTTCCCCTTCTGCTTGGCAGGCCGGGACGACGAAGGGGCGGCGACTTGTTCGGTTGGAGCCGCCTGGGGGTCGATCAGAACATAGTGAACGAATGAAACAGATTACACGTACGGGTTCGACGACTCGTTTGCGTTTCTTGGGCGGCGACGACTCCTCGACTGGAGCGTTGGTGGTCAAGGGCGTAGACGCCGGCTAGTCCTTACGTGAGTGAAAAGAAGGAAGGCCAAAGCGAACAGGCGCGGCAATCATTGATCGCCGTGACTGCTCGCTCCAGCGGGCTTAGAACGGAGCTCACCTGCTGGATCTGGCGGACGTCGACGGCCATCTGCCGCAACATCATGTTGTAGGCCTCAGGGCTAGGCAGGTGGTGAGTTGGATCGACAAGCCATGAGAGAGACATTGACTAACGGCATGAACTGCCGCCAGTCGATGGCAGGCGGGTTTGCTCCCGGGACAGCTGATTCGGTGACGGCTGATGGACGGTTAGCGTGGTTGAAAAGTCGCGGTAATCGTCCTGGGCGTCACTCACGGTTGGTGTCTTGGGGGCGGGGGCTCTGGTCGGGCGCGGACATGGTGGTCGAAAAGCAAGAGTGTCTCGTACTAGGGAGACTCTCGACCCTGAAAATTGAGGGCATTTATATGGTGAACATGCCGGAAGAAGTTTGATTGCGGCAGATCACGGAAGGAACCGAACAACCAAATGAATAAGACGTGGGAACATAACTCTATGTCTCCGCGGCTTTAATAATAAATGAATGAGACGTTGACTGTTGGACTTAGACCTGATGCAGTGAGACTGTCGCGGGATTGACCAGGAGGTCAAAATTAGTGTTCCTGGGAGATGATAGGCTGGCTACCAGACGCGCTCTGCACCAACTCTGTAAGGGCGTATTTTTGCGCTTTTTACAGAGTTTACTCTTGAACCACTCGGTGTATCGCGTCGCGGTTGACAGTGTTGCGCTCAGTAGGACTTATGGGTCTACTGCCCAGTCGACGACTGTGGATAGTGTCGACGATAGCAAGGCAGTCAGACCACTACTGTGGAACTGGTCTTATGAGTCTACACCAGGCTCAGGGCCATTAGTGACGAACGCTTGGACCGCGACCATTCCCCAGAAAGGGGATCTGTCGTTGCGTCGACTTCTCAAAAGGGTCATTCTCTGCAGATGGGAACTTGGGCTGAAGGGCTGAGCAATGTGCGACGATTCTCAATAATAGAACTACTACTGGACAGGACTTGGCGTTACGAGACTTAAACCATCTTGTCGCGGCAACTCCCGGTTTTGAGTTGAACGTTTCCTCAGATCATGCCACGATGACGACTTGTCACATGTCAGGATCCATTCGATCACGGGACATTGTGGACGCGTCGCAGTGACACTTCCAAGTGTCACGGCGAGTCGCGCCCATACCCAAACGCACTAGACATCGACACGGCTAGATCCGTGAACCAAGCCATGTGGGAGACGACTGGCGTGCCTAGGGCCATACGGCTTCTTGGGGCGCCCACGTTGGTCTCACTTGCCAAGACATACCCGTTGGCCAATCCAGCACGTCGTATTCCAAAAGTATGACGCGGTGGGTTGGCCCACATCAAAAGCATCATATGGACGATGGGGCGGGGTCCTGATCACTCAAGGCCTGTCCGATCGTTCAACTTTTCAATTACCCTAAAAGGCAACCGATCTTAGATAGCGTAGCTACTATGCAGTTGTACAGGACTTTACTAAGCAGCGTCGTAGACAGTATAAGTAGCACGTCGTCTCTTTGTATTAGGGAGCTTTCCCCCGGACTGTGAATCACACTCATTTCAGATTGTTTTGTACAATTTGCGTGCCGCGTGATTCCACCCTAAGAAGTTCTGCTACCCCTGCCCGGTCGCGACGAGTTGCTCCCTGAGCACTTGTAGCTACTGTGATTTGAGTTTGAGTTTGAGACATCAGAAAGTCGGATTCGCCGCATCTGGTATTGTCGCGGCATTTAGTGTTGTCGCCTTAGGGCTTTGTTGAGATCGTTCCACACCTCTAGCTTGGCAGTGCGTCGACTAGTTGTGCTCGGGTTGTTTTGGTCAGTTGGCAGTGCGTCGACTTGAGAACTTTGGTTCCACACTTCTTGCTTGGCAGTGCGTCGACAAGTTGTGCTCGGGTTTTGGACATTGGATATTGGCTGTTAGTTGGCAGTGCGTCGACGCGGCATTTTGGTTTACTAGTTGGCAGTGCGTCGACTCAGTACTTTTGGTTGTGTCAGTTGGCAGTGCGTCGACTTGACATTTGGGCTTTGCGTCGCCATCTAGACGCTGTTGCTACAAGGGATCTTAATACTTCGTATTAAGTTCTGACTTGTTATATTGTTTGTTTGTGGATTGGATTAGTATTGGTTGTGTTCGTATAGAAGATATTGGTTGAGATACCATTGTTTGCTATATATAAATTCTTGTCGTCGACTTCGCCTCCGCGACTATTGGACCTGTGTCTATTGAGAGTTGCGATACTGGTGCTCTGTCCACCCCGAAGCCCTCGCATCTTTCACACACTGAGAAGCTGATTACGAGGAGTGTGAACGTGTTTTATATTTGGGTTTACTTTCATAGTAGATTCACTTGTGAGCACGCCCTCAGCATTTCACCGGGACTGAGCTCGATGCGTCACACTGATACTTGATGCAGCTGTGTTGCACATTCACAGAACAGAGGATGTCCTATCGAATCTCGGTGAGTGTTACATTCAGTGATATCGGTTTCTGATCCAATCTGACCTCGAGACAGGTGATGTACCACCGCCCTGATAACACCAACCGTGGCATCCCGTATTGCTCGAGGCTTGGGTCAACAGTGGCCTCTTGCAGCAAGATGACGTCAGGCAGCTCGGAGAGACTATTCACCAACCCTGCTCGTTGCAACAGCTCCTCCAAACGACAGACGCTCGTTCGAGATTCCTTTTGAACGAGGACGTAGGATCGCAGCTCGCAACGGTCACCATTTAGCAGTTCAAGTCGGTTCCATGACTTGAACAGTCCGGTCTGGTTATTCCAGGCTGCTATGTGCTTAGCAGTAACCGTGTCTGCTGCAGGTCTTGATTTCCCTTTGTCGATGCTCTCGCTAACACCTGCAAGTCGTTTGGCGGTCCAAATCTGAGAGACGGCTTATTAACAACACTCACCTCCCACTCCACGTGCTTTGTTGTCCGCAAGTCCAAGATAAGAAGCGACCGTGCCTTCGATGAGAGCAAGCGGTCCTGGCCCTGCTGAAATCCAATCTCTTGGCGAGGAGTTACTGGTCTCACTGGGATTGGATCGGAAGTGCCCTCTGCTGAGCAAGTGCCGTACATGATTTCCCTGGGCAAAAGCCGCCGCAATATCACGTGAAGGTGCATGGCGATTTGAATGAACACTTTTTGAACGAATTATAGCATTGAACGATTCGAAGGCCTCCGTTGCGAACAAGATAGCAGGCCCAAATCGCCGGATATGCGCTGGTAAGTGAAGCAAGATATGAAATTTGGGCTTATTAAACCAACGGTTAGTCCATCGCGCAGCACAAGAAAGAAAGTGATTGATCTCACGAGCCAATTGGTCCTGCGCAGGAATGTCTGAGATCTGACATTACGGACATGACATTGTCAATCTCTTACCGAATATATCTCTATGTCGTCGATCTGCGGTTGCCAAATGAGAGGGACAAGTTTCGATAAGGCCTTCCAAGTTTCGAAACATTGCGGTGAAACAAGATCGTACACAGTGAAAGGAGCCACCTGGGCAATAGCACGGAAATCACGACCAGTTAAAGAGCCTGCATATTGAACGAGAGTTTGGCCTGCCAAGGGGGATATTCCAAGTCCGCGAGTGTCAACTGAATTCAAATGCGTTATGAGGAGCGCCTTCTTGTCGTCCTTGTTCTTGATTTGTAATTGAATGAGATCGCGCCAAAGATATTTGACAAATCCGAGGAGAACAACATGGAGAATTTCGACGGGTGTGTCCTGATGTGGGTCCAATCCTTTGATTCGCCAAACTGGACTCATCGTCTTGTCAAGAGCGGGCAGAGCATCGGCCTGAATTCGAAGCGCTTCCAAACGGGCCGGCTGTCCACGCTTATTCTGTGCGAGTCGAATAACTTCTCCACAAAAAACTGTTGGAAAGTGTCTTTGATCCCGGTCTCGGTACGCTGTTGCTTGATCTGTGTCTTCTTGTCCACAGTAGTAGAAGCAGTAATGAATTCAGAGCGCAAGTGTTCTATTGTCTCGGATCTCTTGCGCAAGCGGCCGATCTGGACAAATGTGAGTTCGAGTAATCTCTGATCTTATCACATAGCCACACGATCAGAGCGCAGAAACAATCATGTGATGATATTGAGGAATCTGCGCGCTCACCGTCATGAACGCTTTGACGTGTGTTACCATTTGTCCCATTGTCTCCAATGCTCGCTTCCCTGCTCCTGCCCGTTTCTTCTGCGACTTGGTGGTGCTGTTCAAACTGTCATCACTCTGTGCCCCAACACTGCTTGCATCGCCGTCACTGCCAACATTGGACGTGTTTTGAGCAGCGGCGCTGAGACCAGCAGAAGGCTGAGGCTGGACAGTATCTGGATCTGTTGCATGGCCTCTGACCCAACACGCACGGCAGAAGAATTTCCCATGCAAGCCGATGTGACAAGCAAACTCGCTTTGCATCGGATTGTCTCTGAGCAGAGCAAGAACCTCCGGGATGACGAGTACCGTCTCCTGAAGGACAATGTCCCATGCCCAGATTCCGTTTTCCTGGCTATTTCTAATAAACGAGACTTGATTTGGTCATGAAATTGAGATGAATTAAAATGAACTCACTCGAGCTGCTCTACAACTCCATCCATCATTTCCAGTGGAGGAGCGAGGTTTGACGTGCACAAGAAATGTATATTAAACTCCTTCTGGCTCTCATGACGATTCAGACCAGCTGGAGTCATCAAGAAACTGTTGTGCTTGTTCCATTTCTTAGAAAGGTTCCCGGATGTATCATCACAGTATAGCCACATTGGGAATGAAACAACGCGACATCCCTTGACTTTTGCACGCCATGGATTGCCGAGAACGGGGTTAGTATATGTCCAGGGAACACTAGACTGAGCAGCATTTGTGTCGACAACATCTTCGAGGGAACTGATCAGTCGAAAATATTATCAACATGCGGTGCGTACCAATGATATATGACGGGTGAGGAACCCCATACACGCCAGCATCAGCCTGAAATCCCAAAAAATTCTTGAAGAAGTGCGAGGCAGGAATATCGACGCTGATAGTCTTGATAACACGCCAGCCAGAACCCTGCTCGCTTGCAACTGGAATCATTCTCCAGCACTTGGCAAACAGAGATCCTTCGCGAGTAAACCACCGAGTGGGTATGACAAATTGTGCTGTTCCCTCCACAGCCGATGCCATACACGGCTCGTAAATGTAATAATCATGGCCATGGAGTCGGGCCATTGGTGTCGTCTGAGTATCGGGAATCTCATTCAGCCACCGTTGACCCTGTCGAGCTTCTGATAATTTTGAGCCGGAATCTTCGGGGTAAAATGAGAGATGTGGTCGAACTCGGGGATTCGCCATTTCCTGCAGCGGTGGTCAGTCATTAATTATAGCCGACGAGAGGCATTTCCTGGAAGTAAACGAATCACCTGCGCAATTATTTGAGCAATATTATTCACAAAATATTTGTGACCGAGAGCGCCGTCATACGCTATTGTTTCAATACCACAGAGTTTCTGGAGCCCGAGATTCAACCGTTGCATCTGCTTGATGGACGGTACATAGGGTATGTTATTGACCTTGAGAAGCCACAGGAAGAGATCGAGTTGGCGTTGCGAGAAGACCGAACGGGGAAGATGCATTAGAATATCCAGTGTACAAGTCTGATTGAATCGCCGAATCAGTTATTATGAATTGAGATTACATCAGGCCGGACTTACGATTCGATCTTCCCAAGGATGCCAGTACAGACGGCTGGCCTCGGACTCATGCTCATGATCACCACGAGGTCGCTTCGGGGCCGGCGGTAAACCATCCAAATGTGGGTCTAGGTCTACAAGAAATGTAAGTGGAAAGCTGCGGGAGATCGTATCTCAATACCTTGAGTGTGCAAAGGGGACCCATCTGCACGAGTGTCCGCATCCAAATCATTGTCAGAACGCTCATTCTCGTCATCATCCGAGAACGCATCAATGTCAAAGCGGTGAAGAATCGCATTTGTGAGAGAGGCAACAGCTCTGTCATCGGGGGAAAGTAAGAATTCGGTGTCCCTGCGTGCTTGATGTTCCAACTGATTCCAAGAACCGAGCTTGAGCTCCCTCCCTCCGATTGCAAGTCAGTTTGCCAATCTGAATCCGAGTTTGGAACGGGGTAAGGATGAGATACACCGCCCCCCAGTGAGGACAGAAGATTTCTGAGCCCTTCATCCGCGATGTCCTTGTCTGAGATAGTGGCATTTTGTGCCGGATCAACGCTGCTCGCACCACGCAGAAGCAGCTCTGTCTCGTCCTCTGCTTCATTACGTCTCTTTAAGGCCCTTTTATGGGATTGACTGCCCTCGTGGCGGGTGCGATGGCTCAGCGCTCCGTTCCGCTCAATCCCATCTGCACAAATCTTGCATAGAACCACGAGTTGGTTGCTCGCATTTCTGCGAAAGTCCCAAATAGGGGCTAGATTGTATCAATCAATGATGTCAGTGTATGATTGCCGAAGCCACGGGACATCACGTACAAGCCCTCGCGTCCAACGCATCGGCACTCATGAAGCTTGCACGAGAGGCAGGTGAAAGAAATGAACGGTGCTGAAAAAGGGGTGGAATTGACTCTCGATCATCCAAAAATTGAAATTCTACCCATTTACAGATTGATGAACGAAACTGATTTCTAATTGAACGACGTTGGTACAGTAGTTCGGATCACACCGAGGTCTATTTTACACGCGGCAACTTTCAGCCATCCGACCGTCTGGCCGTGTAAGCAAAAGGTTGGCTGACATGCATTGCACGCAAAAAAGTAGTTTGTCTCTGGGCCGTCTCGACACCCACTTGATAGGAAAGACCGTGTCCCTCCTTAGCTGTGCTGCGTATAGTTGAATGAAATTTCACCGAGCAGGGCTAGCGTGTTGTTACAGTGGTTGAACCAGGCAGGCACTTGAGATCAACAGTCTCGCTACCGCAAAAGAAAATGTCTGCTTCAAACTCGTTTTGAAGGTACACTGGATGTTGCGGTTTATAAATTGAATCGACTAAAACGCTGAGCCAAGTAAGGTGTACTAAACTTGACCGTGCGGATCGTGCGGATGTGTTTTACTCTACTCAAGTACTGCAGTATTTATTTACGGATTAGAACGAGGAAATAAATACGCTGCAGCCTAGACGCGTGGGGTATATGGATTCCAATAGGGGTATATGCGTAGTTGATATGTTGGACTTGGAACGAGTCTATCTGTACTATTCTGGACAGGACGTTCAGATGGGCGCATGCAAACCAGATTGCAGCGCATACGACTCACCCACTTTAGGCTCTGCAATTCGGCCCCAGAACGCGGGGGAAAACTTATGAGCCGCATGCGATGTTGACGCCGGTGCTGGTAGGTTGATGGAAGAGGGGGTGGAGGCTGCATCTGATGGTTTAATGATGAGATGGAAATTCTTATACGGAGGAGTCAGGTGCGTACTAGCTGAGGACGCAAACCTTGTGACCGGAGCTGCAATCACGGTTGGGGATGCAGAGAATGCGACTGCGAGACAGATGAGGGCACGCGTCGTGAACATTGTGGTGCTTCTGGGGTAGTGGACGAGGCTGAGTTTCGATACTGAACAGGATTCGGGACCAGCCTCTTATTCCATCCTGCTGTTGAGGCGGAGGCTGCGCTCCAATTCGCCTGCCGATCATGAAATCCTCCTCCTCCGGAGTCATCCCTACTTAGCTGTGCTCGGCCTGACGCGGTGCGATTCACCTCAGCTCTCGACGGTGTATGCACTGAAACGGGCGTGAGAGCTACAGCTTTGGCGGAGCCGATACAAGCGCAGATGGATTCAGAGCTTTTCACGGCGCAGGAGGCCGTTGCCTAGGTCCCGCACCGTCTCATTCTGCACTGCCCATCGCGCGGGAATCGAGATTGGGTATCGCTAGTGCGTGGCAACGAGTTGCCTTTCCGAGAATGCACGGGGCAGTGGCGGGGATAATGAATTGCATATCGGCCAGGAAGGGAGACTGAGAAAAAGATAGTTGGGGGAGTTAAAAGAGAAATTGATCACGATCAGATATGCGCACCAGCCATGTGACACGGGAGTGATGCGACTTGATTGATTATAAGCAGTATCTAATCTTGTCGACCCACTTGAGACAACCCCCGGACCGGTGTTAGCTTTTGTCATCGGTGAAGCGCACAGAGCTCATGGACTAGATCATTTCTCCGGCGAGGTGTGATCGAAAGAGACCCGGAAATTCGAATGCGAGCAATTTACACCCATCCATTAAGTAGCTGTGGCTTGAATGGGGCCACGAAAATTCTTTCTATCTTCCGTACGAGCCTGATTCATCTCCACAAATTCCCTCACTTGTACCCAATCCCGACACTTATGCACAACCAAATGCCCCGCCGCAGCCGGATCACACGTGCCATCCGGCTCGCATATCGAAGTCGTGGGATCGAGCGTCAGGTCGGCCGCGCACGTGAGCGCCTGGCGCAGCTGCTGACGCACTGAGGAGCCAATGCGTCCTCGGGAAATCGGATTTCGGACTCGTGCTTGTCCTTGTGCGCGAGATACGCGGTGCGCAGGAGATTGAGGCAGCGTAGGTCGGAGTACAGCCCAACGGTGAAGTATTTCTGATCGGGAGCGGCGGCTGATGGCGACCGGATTCGGTCGTCTGATGGGACGAGAGTGGCCCAAGCGGCGTCGTCCGCGATGCGGTATTCGTCAGCAATGAGGCTGAACTGAAGGGCGGCGGGTCTGACGAGGAGCGGCAGCTCGTTCAGAAGTGGCTGCGCTCCAAGTTCTGATGCTGAAAATGCAACGACTGTCAGATCAGTCAGGTCCCGTGGTCAGACGAAGAACTCCCGCACCGAACGGCAGATTCAGTTGGCGGTAACTCAGCACATTGAACGTGAGACTGAAGGCAACAGCTACAACGAGCCAGGTGGTCTGAGTGGAGGTGAGCATCGAACGAGGTATGGAAGGAACTGGAGGAACTTGGTACAGCCGATCAGATGCCCATACTGCTGAGAAGAATCACATAACTTTGGCTTTCGGGATGAGGTCAAAAACTGCCAAACTGATAGGCCTATGCGCAGCCCCTAAAACAAGTACCCATCACCCGTCGGGCTTCTCGCCGCTGATGTTGCACTCTTCCAGCAGCGACTATTGAAAGCTCGATCCTTAGTATCGCTGTCGTCGCGATGATGGTTATCGCGACCAGGGAGCTTTATAAGGCGCAGTGAGTGGAGGCCTGGTCATCTCAAAATCCAGAAATCTTACCAAGATGATCGTGAAACTCGCCGCTTTTTTGTCCCTGTTCTCTATGGGCCTGCTCGCAGCCGCTGCACCGACCGAACCCCGTGCGTAGACACTCTCGCTTCCACAATTTCGGAACTTGTTCTTGATATCGATGCTCCTTTAGAACTTGCCCGGCGTGCACAGGACAGCGTCCCCAATGGTACGTGTATTCTTTCCATGCGGGAGAGAGACTCACGGGTGGTTGACTGATGCAGCACCGTTCTGGGGCCGCAAGTCGGAACCCATCCGCGCAGCACGATGGGTTGATTCCCGTGCATGAATATACCATTATCCGCATCTCCGACTTATAACTCTCTCCGATGTTACTGGAAACATGAATACATAATCGAGCCGTCCAGCGATCGTATCGGTGTTGAACTCTGGGGGTGACTTGCAACGACAGGCAGCGTGCGGTTTCCGACATGCGACTTCGTGCGCGTGGTCAACAACGAGGCCGCCTGCACAAGCGGGAGAATCAACTTGATGGGCAGCAACGGTTTTGATGAATTTTGATTGCAGGTATCTAGGAGGCTACGACCGCACTGATAAGCCCGTCAGTCTGTACTAAGACTCTGCCGAATAGGGGGGGATAGACGGAGAAGTTCTATTGAGAGCTTCGAAGTCAGACGCCGTGAGCCTAAATTGATTTCCCTCAGCCTTCTTAGCGCATGCAGCTTCGACTATCGCACGGTGATGTAAATCGCGTGAGACCAGCCCTAAATATAAGACAAGCTCGGGAATTGGAGAGTCGGGAGACCAACAGCAATGATCATCTTGAAAGTTGAAAGTCATAGCCCTCCCGTGCTTTGGATTGCTAGCACCCCCGGTCGCGTTCGATAACATTCATACGTGGAGATTGATCCAAGCAATAGGCTGATTTCCGAATGTCTACACACGCACATTCGAAAAACTATGGGAACAGAAAGGATCGTGCCCGCTCTTGTCGGGGACATTTTCTAAAGCGTGTGAAGTAACGAAGAGAAAGCATCAGATCTCTGCCAGACCACTCGTCCGGAACGCGACCGCCCTCCTGACGAACCAAAGCGTTCCCAGCATCCGAATGACCGTGAAGACGAGCCAGCGCACGGGCGCCCACATCTTTCGCGGCGAAGTAACTAATCCGATCCCGCGCTCCGTCAGCTTGATCACCTCCAGCGCCCGTTCGTGTCTCCATCGAGCCCACTCCAAAAGTCCGCTATCATCCTCCGGCGCGCCGAGATGCGCGCTCAGGACGGGCCCCAGGCTGATCGAGTCGCGCAGGCCGAGACTCATGCCCTGCCCACCGAGGGGACTGTGAACGTGGGCTGCATCGCCGACGAGGAGGACGACGCCTCCGCCGGGGAAGCGCATGAAGTGGCGATCCGAGACGCGCGAACGCGTCTTGAAGCGCGACGACCAGTGCACGGTCTCGATCGTGGAACCCTGCAGGGCCGCGGGGGCCATCCGATTGAACATCTTCTGCAGGTACTCGAGACCGGGCGCATGCGGTGCCTCCCCCAGCTGCTGCGGAATTCCGGTCGAGATGCGGTACACTGGTTTCGTGACGTTGGGGTACGCTCCGTCGGGGAACTGCGCGATGAGCATGACATTGAAGTTCGCGATGCGGAGTAGGATGCGAGGCACGGTCGGTCCCAGTGGCTCGGAGAAGGAGACATCACCGACCGCCATCTGCGAGAGGTCTCCGAAGTCGCGTGGTCCATCGCCCTGTGGGTCCTTGAATCCGATCCCTGCGTGATGCCGAACCTGATGCTCATGTGAGACGAACCGAGCCCACGCAGAGGAGGACATGGTGCCTACGATTGATTGCGCCCCATCCGCCCCGATGACATACTTCGCCTTGATGACTTCCCCGGACTCGAATGAGACCTCCAGCCTCCCAGAATCGTCGGTGGACTCCTTGAGCGAAGCGACCTTCATCGGTCGGAAGACGCGGATCCCGAGTTCCGTCACCTTGGCCAGGATCGACCGCTCCGTGCTAGATTGCGGGATGAGGAGGCCGAAAGGGAACTTGGTCTGGTCTTTCAGCGTCGTAAAGTCGGCGGTGAGCAAATTCGAGCGCCCCTCGTGCATCCCGAGTTTCTCAACCTGGTATCCCAGGGGAAGGATGGTGTCCATGCACCCGATGGTATCCAAAGCCTACGTGTGTGTTTTGGTCGCTTGCAGGAGCCAGAAAATCCCCAGCCCACCTCGAGCGTCGCTGCGTGGATCATCATGGCGCGCGAGGCGTTCTCGCCCGGCTCGATGGCGTCGACTACCACCACGTCCTTGATGCCTTGTTTGTGCAGGGAGAGCGCCGTTGCCATCCCGCACGGCCCGGCACCGACGATGAGAATAGGAGTTTCCGATGGCAAAGACATCTAGAGGAATACGGAACAATGCAGTCTAAAGCCACGCTGTCAGGCTCTTATAGGTGTCCGAGACAGTCCACATGGCTAAACGGCATAGGCACTTGCGTAAACCCACTCGACAAGGCCGCCAGAAGACTCAGAAGAGCCGCAGTGATGGTCAGTCGGACAGGCTCGCACCAACATTCCGATGTCGAAGGACCGTCTACAAAATGGGGTGTAGGAATCACAGAGGAGAGGGGGTCAACCTGCTGCCGCTGCTGCTGACATCGGCCGGCAGCCTCGTGTCTGTGGAAATTTCTTATTTTATGTCGTTGACACTGGTGTGTGTAGGTAAGGGCGTCCTATTTTCAGGATCTCGACCTCTGTCCTGTCGCAAACTTTTCCTGAGTCATTCATGATGTGTCACATATTTAGTCATCCCTGCTTACACTTTTCTGATCCAGACGGAAAGTAACTCGCACTGTCTCGTACCGTCGTGTGCATTCCATTTCCGTGCAAAAGACTCAGGGCTATCAGGGACTTCATCCGATCATCGTCTTTTGCTCTGGCCTACCGATCTGGATACACCACATTACGTGCGACCGCTCTGTAACCTTGCCCACTCCAGCAACGCGGCCGCAAGATAGCAGTCATTTTGCCGGTCTGTCATGACCCGCTCTGCAAAGTGTAGCCCGTTGAGCTGGATCTGCCTCGCCTGCTCCTCATGCGCAATCGCCCACTCGACCTTCTCCACGAGGTCCGCCAGGTCGATCCGGACTGGGATGTAGTGCTCGTACGGCCGCAGCCAGTCTGAAAAGTACTCCGTGAATGCCGTGGCCTGTGTGCAGAATGCTGTCAGTCATCTCTTGGCACGCCATCCCGCTTCTGCGCACTCACCTTGAACACCAGCGACCCAGACCTCAGCAACCCGAGAAAACGCCCCGAAAACGTGTGGCCGTCGACGTCGAGCGCAAACTTGTACTTGTACACCTCCTCGCGGGGATGCGCGCCCCCGGGGGTGATGTATTCTTGGATGATTGGCTCTGGGTCGCAGTCTGTCGTGCAGTGGCCGGGGAACCACCCCGTCATCTTCGCGTCCATGATGTCTGGACGTGTCGCTGCGAGCTTGACGAGCCGGAATCGGGTGAAAGCATGGTAGTTCTGGTGGAGGATCTGGCCGTTGTTCGACATGCCGCGCCAGTCTGGGACGCAAGACGGGTGAGTGACTGCCGTCTAGTGAGTACGTAGAAGACTCACACAAGACGTCTTTCTTCGCTTGCCAAGGAATGTCGTCCGCGTGCTGGAATTTGCCAGACCATGGTGACGAGGCGTAATACCATTGCGCGGGGAAGACGATGTCAGCGAAACACGGGGACGCGAGCTTGGTCATGCTGAGGAGGGGATAGAGGTCTGTCGTGAACTCGGATGTCGAGCTGGACCGGATAACTTGTGCGAGCAAGTCAGCAGGCTACCCGAGCTTGGACGAGAAGCGCTTACAAGGAACAGCGTCGAGGGCGTCGATGCCAAATCCTTGGTCGGTGTCTATCACGGCGCACTCTCTGCGATCTTTGAAGAAGTCGGCGGTGGGGAGGGGTGTGATTCGGAAGGGCTGTGAATCCGATATCATCAGCGCCGCCTTGCGGTTGTTCGGATCGGCGGTGTTGAAAACGACGCGAGGCTCGTCTCTACCGTTGATGAGGAACTCCATGTCGGGGAGCACGGACGAGAACTGGATCTAATGAGGAGGAGGCGGAGACAGAACGGAAGGCGGACGTACATTCGACATGCCGCGCTGCCACTCTCCGTCATACGGCGTTCCTGCGTAGTCCGGCAGCCGGACCTGCCCATCCACAATCCTGATTGCGACCATTCCCTTTGGGTCGACGCGCAGCTGTGTCCGTGTTCCGTGTCAGCCCATGCTCTGCATTGCGCGCGCGCGTCAGCCACGCACCAAGCGCGAGCCCAAATCTGCCATTCTCCGGAAATGGTCCGGATCCTCTCTCGCCAGCTGGTAGAAAGGCTCTAAGTCCCGCTGGATCTGGCGGTAGTCGTCGATGAGACAGCGGTTCTCCTGGGCGTAGGCAAACCATCTGTCGAAGTTGGGTGGCGGGGATCTGTTATAGCGCATGCTGTACTTGGTCGCCGCCTCCGCAACCGTCTGAGACTGTTTGCGGAAGAGCTCGTCTACACGCATCGCTGCGAGGATCTCCGGATCCGACAAGTCCACCTTGCTCGTTGTGCCATTGCCTGCATCGGTCGGGTCGTCCAGCTCGAGCTCGAGCACCCATGTTTCCGTCGAGGGATCGGATGATAGCGCATCGGGGTAATAGACATGAGAGCCGACGAGGACGAGCGCGAAAGTCGCAAACAGCGTGCAGAACAAGAGTCGTCGCCGCAGCTGGCTGCTTGTCACAAAAGGGTCGTTCTGTCTGGACATGGCGCTGGGGAGAAGACGATAAGGAGGCGTGTCTTGCGGGACTGCACGGGCTCGCGCAGCCTCTATCAGAGACGCGGAAGGTGTCTCAGACATGGCGCCAGCTATGCTTCCGTGGAATGGAACGACGCCGAAAAGGGGTTTTCATCAGCTTTGCAAACACCGATTGCTCTTCATAGCCTGGATATATAGGCACGATACGATTGTTCGTAGACATCACACAGTGCGGTCACATTGCAAGTATCCATTGGAGAGTAGGCCGCGTTGCGCTCAGGCGCTTCATGCTGCTTCGAGCGCTGGGAGATGATTGACGTAGGAACTGGAAACAAATGATCCAAAAAGACCACCCAGTGCTGCAGCTCGTCGGTGGTCACCCTCGCTGCCACGTAGCCGGATTGAACGACTGATCTTCCCATAGCGTACAAGTGGGATGCTTTACCACTAAGCCAACGCGGCGATGACGTACTTCCGAGATCGGGTTTCAAGGCAATCGGTGAGGTCCCTCGCAGAGAGACTGGCGAATTTCAAACGATTTGACACGCAGTCCAGATGCTGTCACCTGACCGCGTTTGCACAACTGACGAGTTAATCTTGACGTGCCATGTGGCTGTACACAGTGTATGTGAAGTCTAAGACGAGCAGTCCGCGGCGCCCGCCAATGTGTCTCGCGATATCTATCGCTTGTGACGGCCGTGGTGGTTGGAGCTCTCGGCCTGCGCCGCTGCTTGCTCCAGCGGGGATGTAGCAGTGGTCGGTTTTTCTTTGCGATCTGCTGGAGACTGAGTGGCCAGGCGCGCCAACAGTCCACCCTTCGGTCTGTTTCCCACATGCCCTGCCTTGTCTGCTTGTCCAGCATGCGAACAGCATACCAGGAAGAGTCGACTTGTACATAGATACTGGTAGTCATTACACTCGTAAACGTAAGCATAGCCAAACATCTTCTCCAATCCCGCCATGCACACCGCTGGGGCGTCCGCAGTCCTCCAGGTCCCCCTCAATGTCCCCCGCTGTTGCTTACAACGCCAAGACGATAGGGGGTCGGCCGCATGTGCGGTGATGGTCTCTATACGGCACCATCACTCGCTAGCGTCTTCGAGTCTTCCTCAGCCCTCTCCCTGTCCCTACTCACCACCTCCCACCTCCCGATGAGCGACTCCCCTCCGCGCCCTGCCCCGCCGACCCTCGACTTCACGCAGCATGTCCTGGATGACGGACAGGTCGTCAGCACCCAGGAGCGCTTCGTCAAGGTGTGGCGCCATTCCGCTTTTTTCTGCGCCGCGTGCCAGTGGCCCTGATGACGGAGTCGTCAGATCCCGGCCCCTGCGACTGCCCGACCGACATCTGAGCAGTTCTTCTCGAGCGTGGACCCGACGAAACCCGACCTCGAGTTCCTCAAGAACCACTTCATCAACGAGGGCCGGCTGCGCGAGGAGCATGCGTTTTACATCATCGAGACGGCGACGGAGGTGCTCAGGCTGGAAGGGAACGTGCTGGAGATCGATGGCGGCGTGACTAGTGCGTGCGTCGGGCTGCGTCCTTGCTCTTACTGATGGTCGGGGCAGTATGCGGCGATATACACGGCCAATACGTGGGTGGACCGCGCATCTGCGGCGCGGACGTCAGTTGACCCCTCCGATAGTACGATCTCATGAAGCTGTTCGAGTTCGGTGGGAATCCGGCGGAGACGACGTACCTGTTCCTCGGGGACTACGTCGATCGGGGTTACTTCAGCGTGGAGGTGTGACTACGTGTCTTTTGTGCCTGAATCCGCCTGCTTACCCACCTAGTGCGTCCTGTACCTCTGGGCGCTCAAGATTTGGTATCCGAAGAGCATCTACCTGCTGCGCGGAAACCACGAGTGCCGGCACTTGACAGACTACTTCACCTTCAAGCTGGAATGTGCGTTGCGTTCCGTTCTGCGGGGCCACTCGTTGTTGAGCAGGCGCAGGCAAGCACAAGTACTCGGAAGCCCTCTACGACGCGTGCACCGACTCGTTCTGCGCACTCCCGCTGGCTGCGGTCGTCAATGACCAGTTCTTGTGCATACACGGTGGGCTGTCGCCGGAGCTGAGGACGGTCGACGACATCCGGAAAGTGTGTTTGGGTCTCTCCCCGGGGACGCGCCATGTGCTGACCGCTCCAGATCAACAGGTTCATGGAACCGCCGACGTCGGGCTTGATGTGCGACATCCTGTGGTCTGACCCGGCGGAGAACTTTGGCTCGGAGACGACGACGGATGGGTTTTTGCATAACCATGTGCGGGGATGCAGCTTCTTCTACACGTGAGTCTACTTGTGTCTCTGTGTCCTGACACTGAGCACGACGATGGCAGGTACAATGCCGCTTGTGCCTTTCTTGAGCGGAACAAGCTGCTCTCAATCATCAGAGCGCACGAAGCACAAGACGCTGGGTGCGGATCAGTGACTGTAGGGTGATCTCGTGTGTGTTCTTATGAGCGCTTACAGATACCGGATGTACAAGAAGGCGCGGACGACCGAGTTCCCTGCGGTCATGACGATCTTCTCTGCGCCCAACTATCTGGATGTATATAACAACAAAGCGGCCGTTATCAAGTGCGTGACTCAGTGGCCTTGCTTATTGTGCTGTTCCCGACTGTGCTTAGGTATGAAAACAATGTGATGAACATCCGCCAGTTCAATTGCAGCCCTCACCCGTACTGGCTGCCAAACTTCATGGACGTGTTTACCTGGAGCTTGCCGTTCGTCGGAGAGAAGAGTGCGTGATGCGAAGCTCCAGACTGACTCCAGCATCTGACGACACCGCCAGTTACGGACATGCTCGTCGCCGTGCTCAACACGTGCACCAAGGAAGAGCTCGAGGAACAAACCGAGTCTGAGACACCCGTGTGCCCGATTGAGGACAGCAAGGCTCGACAGCAGGTGATCAAGAACAAGATCATGGCGGTCGGCCGGATGTCGAGGGTGTTCTCGTTACTCAGGTGCCTCCTTCGCGTGTGTGTTTGTCCGACCTGCGTGCTAATCGCTGGAGCCAGGGAGGAATCGGAGAAGGTTTCCGAGCTCAAGAACGTTTCTGGGTCGGCCAGGTTACCGCACGGGACGCTGGCATCTGGATCGGAGGGCATCAAGGCCGCTATCAGCGGGTTCGAGGACGCGTGCGTGTCCTTCCTCCTCCTCCCTTCGCATCTCTGAATGAACCTGCAGCCGCAAATCGGATATCGAGAACGAGCGCCTGCCCCCGGCGTTGTTCGACGTCGGGTCTGAGCAGGGCAAGGCGCTCATTTCGTCCGCGGTCCTCGAAAAACCGGAGGTGACGCCTGCCTTCCGGCGCGGTCACTCAAGAGGGGCGAGTCTCGGGACGACGACGACCAGTCCGAGTACGCGTAACAGAGGGCTGGAGGATACGAGGAGCCTGATTCAGGGTGTTTGGGACGTGGAGGACGGTGCTGGGGCTTAGGTACATTCGATTTGGATTATAATGGAGACAACTGTCTTGCTGTGTGTCACTGGAGGCCTGATCGCGAAAGGCGGCGTAGCCTGAAGTGGCTCAATGACGGGTGTCTACCTTTCGGAGGATTGCATGCGGACATAGCAACCACTGGAGACCTGCGCTGAGAAAACTCAAGGCTTGCGGATCTGGAACCGACACCCCGTCCTTTTCCAGAATCCGATTCTTAATAACATCCGGACACCGCTCACTGCAGCGCAGCCCGTTGCAGCAGGTTGTCCGGAGGAGAACTCCAGGGTATGAAACGGGGAGGAATCGATACACAGGTGAGATCAAGAGCCCTCTCCACCTGGGATCTATGATCCCGCAAGTTGTCCCTCGGCCAAGACAACCACGATCTGGCCCTGGAGTGCTCTCTGTGCCGGCGGCGGTCCAAGTGTCGTATCAGAAATTGCTGTGAAACAAACAAGATGTCCAGAACTCTCTTCGGCGATAGATCCAGGTGACCCCGACTGTCCTTATCGTTTCGTGTCATTCGCCGAGGCCGAGGACGTGGCAGACGAGTGGATCTGATCGCACAAGAATACGATTCATTCCTCGAAGTTCTGATCTCACACCCATGCCTTTTCGGTTAGGCAGGCGGTCTGCCACGGCTCCGAGCACTAGTCGGTTTCAGCTGATCGATGCTTGTTTCCGGGGCCTGAGACACGCTGTGTGTGTGTTTATATCAGCCGTGTGCATCAGACACCTGAATTGGCGTCTGCGATGTGTCCCTCCATGACTGTATTCTGATCGAGCTATTCAAGACGCTGCGAGTCGATTGATGTCGAATATTGTGGGATAGCAACTACAGGGACGTGGCTGGGACCCGAGGTCTCTGAGAACGGCTTGGGGTGGGGCGTGGTCGCGTCGGATATCCTCTCTCCGCTCTTCCATGTCTTGACATCGACGCTCGGATGCGGGGTCCCTGATGAGGGACAGGAGCCAACGGCGTGCTGTATCACGAGAATATCCGTCCAGATGCTAGCGAGCGTCGCGTGGCGCCGCATGACGCAGAAACGAAGGATCCGAAGGCATCCTAACCACCGCCGTAGCGCGTGAAACCGCATTGCATCGCATCTGTCCCCCTGAGCTGCAGCGCACTTGCTACTGTGCCGAGTTCTCGTGCTTGTGCGTGGATCAGGGATCGCCGAAGGGACCGAGGCGGATCTGAAACTTGCCGCGATCGAATACATCACGTCTTTTCTCGGGGAAGGACTATCAGCATCTCCATTACATGGGCCCGCGTGGACGTACCTGTCCGCCCAGATGAAGGCTTTGCGTCGGATAGAGATGGATCTTCCGCCACCGTAGCTGGGTTCTCCGAGGGTCGAGGTTTCGATTGTCTTCTGATCACGCCTGCTCAAGGCTCAGCTGCCACGAAAGCACTCACCAAGACATGGATGAGACAGGGTTTCGCCATCAAATCACGCTGTATGGCCTGGGTCTGCGGTGCCAGGTGCCGCTGAGCTCCAGGCCGCCCAGTGTGCAGTCTGTGATCAGGATCGGTTGCCTACAGCGAGGACTCGAGTCTGAGTCTGGGGCCCTTGTCCTGTCCTGTTCAGCGAAATGAAGGATCTCAGGCTGTTGTGTCCATTTTCCCTCCGGCCGTCCCGACAGACACTGCGCAGTGGAGCCCTTGTCTGGAACGATAACCCATTGACAAATCTAGCTCGCTCGCATGAGCCAAGAGCGCAGCTGTAGCACCGTCGGGGGGGCAGCTCGAATGGTTACCGCGCGCTGATGGCGATGCATATTCATATTCCCTTTCGCAGCATGTCAGCGACCAGGGTCCAGCGGTGTCCCGCCGATCCTTCTCCTCGGCCCGCGAGGCCTTTTCTCCAGGGACGCGTGAGTTCATCCTGGATTGCTTGGTGCGCGGCCCAGTGGAGAATGGAGGAGAGATGCGACGCGGCAGCTGACAGCCCCAGTGGGGCCAAGGTTGGTCAAAGTAAAGTATGTGTCACGACTGCTCGTGGGTGTGTCATCATCATGCGGGGGATCAGTGGCAGTGTATTTCCTCCCGTCGAGACGAAAGTGGCGTAGACCCACCCACTGCGAAGTCAAGGTCCTCGGTCGAAGGTGAGGCCAAGCAAAAAATTGTATTGTGCCTGTGCTATTCTGGAGGAAAAGACGGGCGGCTTGATCCATCTTTGGAGGCGTTCGTCTGATCCATCCATGGGGTGGGGTGGATCAATGAGATGGTGAGCAAGAAAGGCTAACGCGAGAAGAGAAAAGCAGGGCCTCTCAGGCAAAGGGGCAGAAGCTGTGAAATTTCACGTGGGATCTGTGTTTGGGGCCGTCCATGCCTAGAATACAGGTGGCGAACGGAATCCCCGGTCTGATGTCAATTTGCGTAACATTTCTGTCAGACTTTAGAGCGAGAGGCAAGCCAGGCCTCCCTACGCCGAGGTGCCCAAGATTACATTGTGGGAAATATGACAAATCCTTTCGCCACCCGAATGAAGAGCTCTAATGCTAGTAAGATTTGAGTACTAAGCTTCGGCAAATTAGCATTGTGCAAGGCGTCTGTCAATGCCAGTCCCGGACGGGCCACAGGATCGGGGACTTGGAAGAGCCAGGCCTTCGCCCGCGACTGTTGGGACTGAATCTCTCGAGGCCTCCTACGAATCTGGATGGAGAGCGTGGTCAGGCGTGAACTCGACGAGATAATTGGTGGATCTGATGCGCCATCGCGAGAAGCCCACATGCTGTTGTTGCTTATGTGAATGTACGAAATTCGCGGTGTATGTGGGGATGGAAACGCGCGGTCGTCATGGGTCGCCGGCGTCTCTTCAGCTCCCGAACACTAGCGAGTCGAGCCTGGTATCCGTTACACGTACGAAATATTGGCTTTCTGGCCCTTTCACGCAGTTCGTCGAGCCTGCAATGACCCCAAAACAGCCTCGCAGGATTTTGCTGACAGTGCATCGGCTTCGAATCTCTTGGGTGGCCACTCGATACCCGTCTTTGTTGAACATGCATCCGCAGGCCCAACAGCTCTGTGGAGCCTCGCTGGCTCAATGATCGTGGGAAACATGCCGAAAAGGAAGCGGCGTGAAGCTGTGTCAGATCCGTGCCACACGTCCAGCATGATCACCGTTTCTCCGTAGCAGCTTCCTCGGTTCTTTCTACTCATCAGCATCCGTCCAGCCACGTTCAGAATCCACAGCAGGCGGGGTATATAACCACCGGGGTTGCAGCAGGGATGGGTTCAACAACTTGCCGCCGCAACTGCCCACTACCGTTACGATGTCTTCCCCTGTGGACTACTCGTCGTGGTCGCCTGCCTCAACCAGCTCCGACTCACGCTCGGGATCACCGGTCCATCCTGCTTCGCTGGTGGATCCTACGACGCACTCCTCTGCGATTCTGCAGCTGATGGGTGTGAAATTCACGCCGTCCGTCATAGGTAGGGCACTCCCTTCCAGCGGTCATAAGCCGGCTGCTCATTCACCTCCCCCAGGCTACATCGTCGAGTGTATCGCCGACGCGGTCTCGTACGCTCTCATCCGCGGCTCGCGCAAGCCCTCCCGCTCGCGTCCCTCGCCCCGCGCCACATCCCTCCCCCTCGACAAATTCACGCACTTCGTCAAGATGATACTCGCCCGCGCGGAAGTGAAACCCGCCGCGGTCCTCGTCGCTCTCGCGTACGTCGCGCGCGCGCGGCCGCACCTCGCCATCGCCTCGCCCGAGTGGGCGCTCGAGCGCGTGTTCCTCGGCGCGCTGATCGTCGCGAGCAAGTACACGCAGGACAGCTCGCTGCGCAACGTGCACTGGGCGCTGTGCAGCGGTGTGTTCGGGCGGCGCGACATCGGGCGCGTGGAGCGGGAGTTTCTGGAGGTGCTCGATTGGGAGCTCGGTGTGCGGGAGGAGGAGATCCTGGTGCATTGGGGTGGGGTTATGGGGCTGCGTGACGAAGAGATGCCTGCCGCGGCTTCCAGGACTGCGATGAAGAAGGCCCCCCGTTCGGAGGACCACAGCGATGCGGTGCCGGCACTCGAGCCGTCTAGCCCCTCCAGCACGCATTCATCCTCGCCACGCACGCCGTCGACAATCGACATGGAGGTGGATCAGCCAGCACCCCACTTCCAGGAGAAGGCAACGATGCACTACGGTCACCGTTCGCGCCGACTCGGCGGGCCCTCAGGGTGCTACACGTCCACCTCCCGGGCTACCACGATCAGGCCGCGAGCCCCATCGCTGCTGGTGTCCAGTTACTGAACTGGATGATTCGTGGTCCGAAATCCTCCGATCCGCCTGCGGGCCTTTCGAGATCTTGCGCGGGATGATGGATCAGAGCCCAAGCTGATCCCGCGCACTGGTGTATGCGACAAGGCTTGCGATTTTACCCTTCCAGTGCTTACATTTATCATACCCGCCATCAACACTGGATGTTGTTGCCTTGCAATGCGGCAATTCGCAGTCCGCTGACACGTCATAAACATATCCCTCATTTATCGTGCTATCGTGCTTTCCCCAGCCATGTACTTAACTGTATCCCATCGCTCCGTCACTCCTTTGATATCGCCGATATACTGTACCCATCCTCCAAGATATTAATCATACGCACAAATACATGTACTACAAAAACTGCATTACCCCCCGCGGCTACAGATAATAAAATGTACCCGCAATTACTCTCGAAATTCAAAGTCAATCGCATGAGCATCAGTGCGGGGCGAGCACGGCAGACACCAGACACTGAAATGGATTATGCAGTGGTATGGTTCTATATTTGGAAACGGTTTTAGGTTCCCTTCAAAACTCAAAACGTCGACATCTCTTGTAACTGTTCAAGAATCGCCCCGGCGCCGCCATTAGGTCTGCTCCCACCCCAGAGGGATCCGTAGCGGTGTGAGGCACTCCCTGACATCAGGATCCTCTGCCTACGATCAACGCGCCTTCGACAGCTTTTGAATGCCTGGCCGCCAGGGATTGGGTTGTCAGGATCGGTGCTCAGAGGGTGACCAAGTCGCGCTACGCTCTTCTCCTTATTCTATAAGTTACATATCACAGTCCAGAAGAACTCCTATCCGCACAATTCCTTCAAGCCTTCTTTGGTGGTCCAAAGACCGTCTCCTCCAGCACCCTTCCGTCCTCGAGGGTGATCTTCTCCGCGCCGACCATCACAACCGCGATCCTGCAGGTCTGCTCCCCGCGGTTAAACCACGCGTGATTCGCACCCCGCTGCACCATAAACTCGCCCTTCCTCACCGTCTTCTCCTCGCCGTTATCCAGGGCGAGAACGATCTCGCCCTCGATCACGACGGCGTAGTCGATGGTCTGCGTGCGGTGCATCGGAGCGCGCCCGCCGGGCAGGATGTCCGTGATGCAGAAGAGCACGCCCGTGGGCGGGCAGCGCGGGAGCGCGGTGCTGAGCTCCGGGAAGCGCGCGGTGTTGGACGCGGGGACGCTGGGCGACGCGTGGAAGGACGTGAAGTGGCTCGCGGCGGGGCCGAAGGGCGTGAAGGGCGTCAGCGCGGCATCGTGCGTGAAGACGGAGGTGCCGTCCTTGGTGTGGCCGGTGGTGACGAGGCGCGCGTTGGGAAGGTGGGTGTTTGCGTTAAGAGTGGGCTGCATGTTTACTGTCGATGGCGTCTTGGAGCGTAGTCGCCGAGTTTATATTCGTCCATGAGCGGTAAAAAGGAGTGATATCTTTCCCGTTTGAGAGAGTGAGATTGAGTTGTGAGGGACACAGCTTGATGGTCTCCCGACAAAGCGGCAAAACGGGGTAGGTGGTTCCCTTTCTGGACCAATCCGACAAGTCGAGACCAGTGCGGGTCGTCTGACACGTGATGATGACGCGTCGCGGCGCGTTTCAGTTGCTCAATCAAGATCCCTATCATCAACTATCAATCGACCATGCTCGTGATGAGGATTCAGACACAGTCTGGATCTCTGTCATAGGCCATTTGCAGTGGATTTGATTCTTTTCCTTCGAAGTGAAAAAGGATCTAGCAGTGACAAACATAAAAAAACAGTGTGGTCGTCTACAGCTTGACAATATGAAGTTCAACTGCTCAGTCTAAGTGATAGCTTCTAACAAGGCCCTTCAATCTACACTCTTACCGCCCTTGTGATTTTTTTGCCTGGAGATCCCGAACACAAGATATCGAGTATCCTCTCTGCGAGTGATGCTGGGTGGCCTTATACAATCTGCCAGGTGTCAGACTAATCCAGAGTAGCAATGAGGCAGGCCACTCACTAAAAGTGCTACTCTAGGGACGAAACGGATCTATTCAAACTTTTCGCTTCATCCCTCCACAAAATGATATCAGGTGGACATATTTACCAACCATTCTCACAATGCTGTCACAGGCAAAATGATCACATTTGAGAACAACTCGAATTATGGCAATTCGGGTTGAAACAGGGCATTAGAGATCTCTGGCCCTCAAAGGGATTCTGCAGCCAAATCCAAATGCATGTCCGTCAAAGGGATGGTTCGGTTGATGCCTCTGCATGTATGAACATTCTGGAGGCTCTTTGGACGTCTCAAGTCCATCAGAAATGATCTGCAGATGTATTCACACACAGAAAAAGAAGAGCTGAAATTCGTGCGGATCCTTGCGTGACATCAACGACCGGTTTGCCGTGGAATGCTCTGATAATATAGCGATTGATGCATAGCAGACACTCGACAGAAGATCGATCCATCATGGAACAAAGAGATAACACTGATGATACGCGAATTCGTATCAAATCGCTTTAATTCAGGCTGCAAAACGGGTCTTCACTTCCCCCTCCAGGAATTCCTCCAATGTTCCAAGCTGAACGCCCAGCGCAACCAGATCTGGGTTCGGAATCGGCGTCCCGCCCAACAAGCCCTCATATTCTTCATGCGCAGCATACTCAAAACAAAGATCAGTTAGAAACACAGCGGATTCGAACAGCGCAAGTTAACACACCATCTCGTCGATAGACTGGACCCCACTAGGAGGTGTCTGTACAAATTTCACGGGGACTCCGAGCTCTGAAATCATTTTGTCACATGTAGCAAGCGGTGAAAACAACGCACTCTGTTCGATCAACTTGACAAACTGTGTGTAGGTGGTCCAGGCATTGACAATCGGGTACGACTTGCCAACAATACTATTGTTTCCACTGGCATAGGCTTTGGCCATAGCAAGCGCGACAACGCCCACATCGCGGCCTCCCCAGGTGAATATCTCCTTTGCACCGGGCGGATAAGGAACGGAGAGCTCGTAGCATGGTTCCGCTTTCTTCAGCGCACCGAAGCTGGAGGAATAAGATGGATGTTACAAGAAGATTCAGTGCGAAGATGTGGCTCACGTCCAGAGATTTTCCAGAAATGAGCCAGCGAGCACTGATGCGTGCGCAAGTCCGGCGGTTTTGAGGTACTGTTCGACTTGAGCCTTGTCTGCGCGTGGTTGAACAATCTTTTCGCGGTGGTGGAGAGACCCAGGGGCCAGACCCACGATCGTAGTGCACAACTCCCTTGTATTTGCCTTGTGAAACCTCGACGACACTCGGAAGAGAGCTGGAAAACGGATTAGTTCTCCGAAGAGCAACTAAACCAGCGATAGAATCTCACCTGAATACTAGAAACTCGACACCCGCCTTCTTCGCAGCCTCGACAACGTTGATTCCTTGCGTCTTCTCGTCGACTGTGGCACCAAAAGCAACAAGGACCGTGACCTGCACTCAGATCAATGAGCATTCAGGCAAGACAAAAACAAGTAGGAAAAGTAGGGTCACGAACTAGAAACACAACTTTGCTCCCCTGCAAGGCATCGAGCAACGTCTGGAAGTCGGCACACGTATCACCCTGAACGACATATACGCCGCGCTTGACGAGGGCCTGCGCTGCGCTCGAGGTCGGGTTGCGGGTGATCGCGCGAGCCTGGAAGGTCCCATCGATGAGGATGGCGTTGATGACGCTTGAGCCTGCATTGAAGTATGACTCGGCTGAGTGAGTCTGGAACCTGAGATGGGTCGAACGTGTACCTTGAGTACCCGTGGCACCAAACACAGAGAAGATTGGACGGGACATGAGAGCAGTGAATGAGTTGGGAGTTGGATAATACCGTGGCTGATATAGGTGAAATCGGTGGCGTGACTCGTCCGGACGATGACAAACGATGGCGCATGCACAAAGGAACTGGCCCATCTCGGGTCTTCGAATTGGTTCAGATGTGGGCAACCAATCAGGAGGACACATGTGGTCGAGAAAACTGAGCCGGCGGAAATAGCCAGCAGTTGGTAAATCCTTTCATTGGATTCAATTTTCATCCGGCCTTGACGGTCGGAGGGTTTCACATGTTGCGACGAGCCCGAGAAACGCCGTGGAAAGAACGAATGCCCAGGACCAATTTTGCGGCGGCGAAAAGTGCGCAGGATGAAATGCCGGCAGATGCGTCATATCAGCGGCATACCGAACTAAAAGCTTGGTAAGCGACAGGAAAGTACGAGATCCGGGACATTGTTTGGCATCCATTGAGACCAGCTCGTGATCATGCTTAATCCGCCTGCCCGAGAAATGCGAACTGAACTACAGTTCTGGCATGGAAATTTCCAACTCAGACCACGAGTTAGCTTGTTTCCAGGTCTGATTCGGATCGATTTCCGGACTGAACCTGGGCACCGCAAAGCCAATACAGATGGATTCCATTCTGACTGTTTTGTTTTTCGAATGGAGAGGTGTTGCTAGTGCGGCGCCGTCACCTGTCTGGCTTCTGTGCGCAGTTGCATGCTGCACCTCTGTCGCAATCCGTCAACGATGCAATCGAATCTGCAGCGGCGAGAGTCACACACTTTTTTAATCCCCCATCCTTCTTATCAGCAACTGCACTCCAAGCAGCGTTATGATCCCTGACTATTCACCCCAGATGGCCCGCTTCACAGGTGAAGCCGGCGCAGCCCTCGTTTTCCTCATCGCTGTGCGTGCCCTCATCGTTGCCGTCCACCTCCTGTGCTGATCTATTGCAAAACCCCGCAAAGTACCTGGCGATCTTCGCGTGGATGCTCTTTGCATACCTCACCCACCGCATCAAGTGGCGCTCTCGCTACTCGCTTGTCTTCTTCCACGTCACCGTCCGCCTCGCCTCGCAGGCATGCGGGATCGCATTTGGCATCCTCGGGTTCTCGAACACGAGTGTGTTTCTGGCATTCCTAATTCTCGGCGCAGAGGGGTACTTTTCCTTGGTGGGCTCGCTTCCTGATCTGCACCTGCGCGATTCGCACTGATTCACAGCCCCCCACCGAAGGTGCTCTGCGCGTTCCGCTTCGTCGTGTCCTGGCACCAACACAATCTCTCCAGTGGCGAATCCTGGCTCGAGCCCCGCGATCCGCCCAACACGAACAAATGGCGCAAGGGCCTCATCTTCACGCTCCTCGGACCGCTCGCGTTCGTCGTCTACGGCGACCACCCGATGGTTTTCTTCCACTCCGCGCTCGTCGCCGCCAACGTTGCCATCATCGTCGGTGGCTCATACCTCGCCGGCGTCGACTACACCGACCTGAACTCGGCCGACGCACGCCACAGGATGCTCGTGTCGCGCATCACGCGCACCACCGGCCAGAGTGTGTTCCTCGCAGCCAACTGTTGAGCACTGGGGAGAGCGTCTAGCAACCCACCTGTGTGAGTTGAGAGCTTAGTGTGGGCACTATGCGGGAGTAGTCAAGAGACTTGTATTAAAGGGTAATAGAGCCCTCCTTATATATGATACAGGGGGCCGTTTGTGTCTATTTGGGACGAGTCGATATGACTCTAGATGACACGTGATGGAGTCATAGATATGTATCACGACATCCATCTTGACAGATGATATTTGATCAACACTCCCCCACGCTGAAAACCACGGGATAGTGTTTGAAAGCGAATCTTCATCGGCCATTCCTTCAGGACGAGTTGAACTCAAGTCCTAGTTGGGACCTGAACTTCTCGAACTTGACGCGTCCTAGGTTCTTGGTGAACATATCTGCAGGATTCTCACTGCCCGGAATAAAGAACAGTTCAACCTCTTCTTCCTCGACTCGCTCACGAATGTAGTGATAGCGGATGTCTATGTGTTTCATCCTGCGGTCTCGGTAGGCATTGCTGCCACTGAAGAGTGCACCCTGGTTGTCACCGCAAATGGGTACTGGGATGGTGAGTTTGAACTGGAGTTCCGAAAGGACGCTCTTCAGCCACATCACCTGGCGACTACAATCTGAAATCGCCATGTACTCTGCTTCGGTCGAAGACTGCGCGACTGTGCGCTGAAGTCTAGACTGCCAGCAAATAATCCCATCTGCCAATTTCGTGAAGAAACCAGTGGTAGACCTCCTCTTGATCGGATCAGCAGCCCAGTCTGAATCGCTAAATGCAATGAGCCCTCTATCCGTCGCACCATTGAAAATGAGCGAATAATTCCTAGTACCAGCCAAATAGCGACAGATATACAGCGCTTTATGGAGGTGGTCTTGGGATGGATTGGCAGCAAATTGTGACAATTTGGTCACAGCAAATGCAATGTCAGGACGTGTGCCTAGCATGATGAAGAGAAGAGATCCAATGACTGATTGGAATTTCTTCCTGAGCTCTGGATCGACTTCATCCTCATTTGGCATTGGAACATATCCAGCCGGTAGAGGGGTCGCTGCGAACTTGGCGTTCTGCATCCCAAAGCGCTCTAGCACCTTGTCGAGATAAGGAATCTGATCAATCTTGATCGAAGATCCTACTCTACTGAGGCGCACGCGCAAGAACTCTGGAGTATCTTCAGAATTGCGGCATTCCCATCGCTTGTTGAACTCAGCCTTGAAAAAGGCGAGGAGCTTCTTGTTCTTGGAGAAGAACAGTGCATCATCCACATAGACTATTATGACGGCTATGCTGCCATCAGAGTCCTTGTAGAAGAACACGCCGGCATCCGATGTTAGTCGGATCCAGCCCATGGCTTTCGTGGACTTGGTCAGCGCTTTCCACCATGCTAAAGCAGCTTGTTTGAGTCCATAGATTGCCTTGTGCAAGCGCATGACTTTGCGCTCTTGGCCTCTCGCCACAAAGCCTTCGGGTTGTTCCATGTAGACCTCTTCGTCAAGTTCTCCGTAGAGAAAAGCCTTACTGACGTCGAGTCCAGACCAATGCCAATCATTGAGCGCTGCAAGCGCCATGACCAACCGGAACGTCTCATACCTGACAACAGGAGAGAATATCTCGTCATAGTCAACACCTTCGACTTGACTGAAACCCTTGGCAACTAGGCGGGCACGTTTTCGGCCATCAGATTTTTGGTCAAAGACCCAGCGACATCTGATAACCTTCCGTCCTTTCGGGCGGTCCACAAGGGAATAGACCTTGCGCTGACGAAGTGCCTCTAACTCGTCGCGGCAAGCATCAATCCAACCTTTCTGTTGTTCAGAAGGCAACCGCTTGATATCGCGGAACGTCCAATCGCGAATTTTGGACGTATCAGGTAGGTTCTCATTTGGAACCGCTTTTGACAGCAGCGCCGTGATGAGCTCTACTCCCCCTTCCCGGCATAGCTTCTCCATGCGTGCATCCTCGTCTAGATCATCAGAAGCACCCGCGTTTGAGGAATCTGGTTGCGAGCTAGGGCCGGGAACCCCTGCATCAGCACCGGTTGATGGTTGAGATTGGGAGCTACCCTTATCTTCACCAACATACCGCTTCCATCCTCTGCTGTTCTGAATGTCACGGACTATATCCGTAGGGGTACGCTTTTCCCCATAGACGTTTCCTGGACGTGTAGGCACATTCCGCTGGCGTGAAGACCTTCGAGGCTCAGGAGCTGGTGAAGCTTCCCGACTTGGTCGTGGAATTCTACTTCTACGAGTCCTCTGAGGTTCATCCCGACGCTCTGGCGGTGGGTCCTGACGATTATGACCGTCGTCACCATCATCATTTCCCTGTACGGGAGGTGGTGGAGCCGGATCAGATGGCATGGGAAATGGAAAAGGATTATCTCCATATAGCCAATCTTCTCCGTCTACCTGTGGTGGATCTTGTGGATTCACTGGGTCATCACGTTCTGGAAATTCCTCTCCAACAGGAACGTGGGGTGGTCGATTGCTGTCAGGACAGCGGGGGAACAACTCCTCGTCGAACAATGCCTTGGTGGCGACGAACGTGGAATTGTTTGTGCGCATGAACAAAAATCCTTTCACACCATCAGGAATGCCCAAGTAGGTCATCAGCTCCGATTTGGGCGATAACTTGTTGGCGCGCTTCTCATCAGGGATAAAGACATATGCAGCGCAACCAAAGACTCGGAGTTCGGAAACATCCGGTTTTTCCTTGTGAAGAGCTTCAAATGGAGTTTTCCATTTTAGACGCCTGATAGGTGTCATATTGTAGATCCGTGTCGCATGTTTGATAGCGAATTCCCAATAAGAATTAGGAAGACAGGCAGTGAAGCGCATGGCTTCTGCCTTATCCATGATCGTACGATTGAAGCGCTCGGCATGCCCATTCTGCTGGTGAGCATATGGAGCACCCTTCTCCACTAGAATTCCTTGTTCCGCGAGAAATTCTTCCATTCCCATCCCCATGAATTCTCCCCCATTGTCAATATGCCACTTTTTGATGGTGACATTGAACTGGTTCTTGACCATCGCAATGAAATTGCGCATAGCCTGCTTGGCATCGGATTTCTGCGCAAGGCATACTGTCCAGCCATAGGAGAGTGCTTCGTCGAAGAAGCTCATGAAGTAGCGGTACTTGTGATAAGACACCGTGGGAAATTGTTTGAGATCCGAGTGGATCAAATCAAACGGATTCTCCGCTCGTTTTTCGGAAGGCGGGAAGGCACGTTGGTGCATTTTCCCTTGCGCGCATCCTTTACACGGTCGGGTTTCCTCGGGAAATACTAGGTCTTCTGGAAAGCCCTTGGTATTCTTCTTTGCCTGACGTAAAACGTCTTTCGACGGATGTGCAAATCGCCGGTGCATGATCTCATAATCCACCTTGTAAACAGTGGACATGGATCGCACTGTCTCAGCCGTACTAGGCTTTGACATCAGGAAGTACAATGCAATGTCCTTCCCTAGAGTTCTAAACTCCATGATCGAGAGTGGGGACTTCCCTCGATGTAAGCTGATCCGCGATTCGTCTCCACGAACGCGAGATCCTCCTTTGAGTAAGGAGCCCAAAGACATGAGACGACCATGTAATCCTGGCACTAAGTACACTGGATATATCTGAGAAGTCACCATTGTCTTTTCTCCATGCCTTGTGACGTAATGATCGATGAAGGCTGTTCCTCGACCAATAAGGGCAACACGTGTGTTCTTATCAGCGGTCTGAGCAACAATAGGATCTGAGAGCTTCTCATATCCGACCAGATCACTAATCTCCGATGTCACATGGAGAGATGCACCTGAATCAAGAAGCCATAGAGGCCCTAATTCATGATGATGATGTTTCCCCTTACACTTAGAGCAGGCAGCAAAATCGGAGTGCACACAGAATAGATTGGTACAAAAATCATGCAAACGTATCATCAACGAATTTAGTACAGAACCCGGGGCGGCGGTGATTACGCGCTCTGGCTGTGAGCAACAATCAGAATTGTGCATGTGCCCAAGAAGGCAGGGTACTTGCCTTTCGGCGGAAGGAGCGTCCATCTCCTCTAGAAGGGTGTTGAAGTCGACGACTTCATCCCAATTGACCGGTTCAGCCTGGGCGAACTCGCTATCTCCAAACAGAAGATCAAGATCGTTCTGTTGGCCGGTGGCCATCTCGACGTCGGGGATCTCCTCGATACAACTGCGTTTGGCAGGAGGACCATCATCCAGCGTGTGATTCGAGCCGGAAGCAACCGGAGATGGAGAACGCATAATTGCGTCCTCGCGGAGCATTCCTTTCTCATTGACAATCTTGTCGAGAGTCCGGAAGCGTTCTGCGGTCACCGTCACATCCATCTTCTTGGCCAGCTCGAAGACCTTACGAGTAGGCTTCTGGAACTCGGTGTCAATAATCCCATTGTTGTTAACGGGAGACTTCTCTTGAACCGCGCGGATTTTGGGTCCATCGCGAGAGATGTGCGTGACATGCGAGATCGTCGGCGCAGGGATAGACGGAGTGAGCGAGGCGATCGAACCGATAGTGAGGGAGCCAGTGATCTCGGAGACTCCATGGACATGACTGTGATCAGCCTTGCCCTTGCCCTTGTTGTCCTTGTTCTTCCCACTGCGCTTGCCTCGACGGTTCTTCTTCTTTCCATCAGCCTTATCACCCTTATCGGGTGCAGAGCCAGAGCCCTGTTGCTGATTGGTGAACGAAGGGTCATCGCGCTTGCGCTTGGTATTGAACTTGGCCACATGATTCTGGCTTTGAGACTGCTTCTGAGCAAAATGCGTCAAGAGAGCGTCACGAACCGCAGAGACTTTGATCTCGTCTTTGTCATAAGTCTGTAGAACAGTCTCCGTGACAGAGGGAATCCGGGCTATGTTGAGAATGATCATCGCTCTGAGGAACTCAGGGATGCTCAAAGACTCGTTCTCCAGGCGAGCGAACGCCGTAGTGATCACCAGCAGCTGTGGATCAGGGTGCAACCCCACGTTGTACTTGGCGTTCAACGCGGTTTGGAAGTACGCGTACAGGTCGGCGCACTGAGCACCACCGTATTGGGTCTTCAGGTGCTCCCAGATCTTAGCAGCTGACACTATGTTGGCGGTTGGAATGTTGGCAATGACTCCCTCAGTCAGGCGCAACTTAATGCTGCCCTTTGCCCTGAGATCATCATGCTTCCATTGCTTGATCTCCGATGCGTTGGTCACAGAGCCATCTGTAGCCTTGACTTCGGTTGGCGCGGTCTCGGTCAGCACGTATGAGATCCCCTGATGCTCCAGATAGGACTCCATAGTTCCGGACCAGACAAGCCAGTGCTTTCCATCAAAGATGGAGACAGCATTGAAGATGTTGTTGGAGTTGGACGACATGTTAGATCTGTGTGAGTGATCAGCATCAATCTAATCTGATAGATAAAATCAAAGATAAAGATGATCAGATCCTCATAGATCATAATCTCCTTCAGAGATCGATGCATCTGGATCAAGCGATGTAATCGCGATCCGGCATGGTTTCACCAGCGCTATGCAGCAGCTGAAGTGATGACAGATAGGCTAAAGACGCTGCTCATCGTTGCAGCCAGTGACGGCGCATACAATGAATGTCGCGGCCATTGAGGCGCAGACATAGCTCTCGGGGCCCATAACCTGTTGAGCACTGGGGAGAGCGTCTAGCAACCCACCTGTGTGAGTTGAGAGCTTAGTGTGGGCACTATGCGGGAGTAGTCAAGAGACTTGTATTAAAGGGTAATAGAGCCCTCCTTATATATGATACAGGGGGCCGTTTGTGTCTATTTGGGACGAGTCGATATGACTCTAGATGACACGTGATGGAGTCATAGATATGTATCACGACATCCATCTTGACAGATGATATTTGATCAACACCAACACGCTGTTGCTCGCCGTGGTCCTGGTCACGATGCGGAACAACCGCCGGGAGGGGGACGCTCGCCGCCGGCCTGGGACCGTCCATCCAACGCTGGTGCTGCTTCTCCTTGCGTGGTTCCCGCTCATCGTTCGCGGCATATTCGGAATCCTGCAGGCTTGCGTGTGGAGCGTGAGTGACAGAGCGCTGTGTTCTCAAACTCCCGCTGACTTTCGATCTTGCGGCAGTTGTCGTATTACAACCGTCTGTGACTTTCTAGACCAAACAACGTGCGACGCTGATCACCGCACAGCGAGCAATTATGACGCGGGAGGTTTTACGCCCCGATTCACGGCGATTGAATATGTTCTGGGAGTGTTCACGGAATGGCTAGCGTGAGTGTTCTCTGCGATACGGACGGCGGCGGTTGCTTAACAGTCCATCTAGCTGCGTGCTGCTCAATGTGACGTATTACACTTCCAAGAACGATCCTCTCAAGCCCAACATGGATGGCGAGAGGGAGAGAGAGTGGATCGGCCTGAAGGCAGGAAGTGCATAGATCTTGGCCCGCTTCCCGCTCTCCTAACTCGTATGGTCATGCATACGTTGTGCTGATCGTCCACAAATGCTCCTCGTCTCATACTCCCTTAATTTTCATGTCACAACTTATTATGACTTTCGTAAGCATCCTGAGAGCAGATGTTGAAGCCTTTTCGGTCGGAGTAAGCGCACCCCAGCTGCCACCGCCATCATTAAGTGCGACGTCTATGGGTACCCAGTAAGTAATGAATTGGAGCTCCTTGGGGTGGTGATCGTCACGGGGATTCATGATCAGTAACAGTCTGGATCTCTGTCATAGGTCATTCCTGAGATTTGAGTTCTTACATATCTCACCTGAAATGGAATCACCTCAGTTACCACCGCCATCACCCGGTTGCACCCCCGCGTGGGTCCTACTGGGTACCCTCAGACGTAGCTCTGAGGGTACCTAACAGGTACCCCCCTGCGGGGCCCGCGGGGGGGATTTGGTCCATTTGGGGGCGGGGGCATATGCGGGGGTCAGCAGGGGGGGGTGAACGAAAATATATACATGTGACTTGTCTACATCTGTAAGAGCGGGTAGCTGGGCGGGAAAAAAAAATCAATCACGTGGAAGCACCGAGCGGGCGGGATGGCGGGCGAAAAAAGCACGTGACAGATGGAACCAAAAATTTTAAAACGCTGGCGGGGGCTGGCGGGGGTGCGGGCGGGGTCATTACCGACCCCCCGCATGCCACGGCGGGTGGTGGGCGCATATTCACGTGACTTCATCCCGGCCATTTTGCCACCATTTGGTCGGGTTTTTGCATGCTCTCCACGATGGCGCACAATGCAGCGGATGGCGGCCAAAACGGTCACGTGACTGGGCGCAAAAAAAAACCAAATGGCTGCCGGAAAAAATTCCGATGCTATCCCAATTGTGTCTAGCTTCGATAATTAAGAAAGTGAAGCGCTGAGCGCAAAATGCCCGCCGCACTGCGGTAATGATGGGAATGTTCCCATCATTTTGTGGGGTCACCCGTGCGGTTGATCAGTTCCATGTTTAACCACTCGTGGTATTCGTTGCATTGTAGCCGCCTTTTTGAGGAAAAACAACAGCTTTTACAGAGTGTACTACTCTGCTCCCTGAGAAGCTCTGCACTGTGTAACTCTGCCTCACGCCGGGGATTATGATGTTGATCACAGAAAGAAATTCAAATAACCAGGGTAAAATAATCCTAGTGGTATTTCCACATGATTCAGGGCTCTTTATCATGGAATCCCAAAATTTTAGACCATTCAACTTGTCCTAAATCGCCCTTGACTATGAGTTTGGTGTTGTACACAATCTGTTGTTGATGTGGGGTGCACGCGGGGGTGCGTGCGGGGGTGCGCGCGGGGGTGCGCGCGGGGGTGCGTGCGGGGGTAAGCGCTGGGCTGCTCCTAGTAATCTGCTGGCCTGGCTTGCTCTAGAAGCGTGAAGAGGACGGTTATGGAAATTTTCTTTGACAAACAGCGTTACACCACTTCGGTCTGGAATGAGAGCTCCCAATGAAACTGTTCACTGTCAGGGACTGGTAGGGGTCAGTGAAAGCTTGCATGATTGAACTCCGTGCACTGAATACTACTGATTGACATTTGAGAGAATTAAAGGCCCCTCAAGTTCGATGAATGTTGAGGGAGGTGTGGAAGCATGAACAGTATGTTTTTGGGTGGGGTCAGAAGGCACTACTATTCAAGCATTCATTACCTGACCATGTAATGGTGCAACTCAGCTTCTGAAAATCCATCCCTTAAAATTCCATAGCCAGAAGAGGGGGGGGGGCAGATCGATGTCGTGTATGAAAGATGTACAACAGGACGTTGTAAAAAAATATGTCGAAACTAATATACGGATGAATGTATGCAGATAAACCCCACGATCAAGAAAGGACATGCAAAATTGAACGTAACACCTTCATTTTTTCGCGAGCTCCTCCTGGACTGCGCTGCGAATAGCACCTGCCATCATTGCTTGGAAGGACGGGGCAGAGAAAAAGCTAAGCAGAGCGGTGGCGGGATCGGTCACTTGAGCAGCGGCGGCAGTCTCGGTCGATCCAGTCGCTGCCGTGGAAGTCGACGCTGTGGGTGCAGCAGCAGTGGCCGCGGGGGTATCGGCGGAGGTGTCGACGGGGGGTGCCGCGGGGGGTGCCGCGGGGGGTGCCGCGGGGGGTGCTGAAGAGGGTGCCGCCGTTCCTACGTTGGCTGGCGTCAACTGTGACACCAACGTCGGAGCTTGAGCTGGAACAACAGCCCCTTGCTTCTTGGTGGCAGCGCGAGGCGCCCGCGCAGCAGGGGGATCGTCCAGCTGCTGGCAACTGCATTGACTTGGCGGGGGCGAGGGCGGGGGCGAGGGCGTTTCTGTGGGGGTGTCTTTGCCACTTCCTCCTCACTCTCAGGGGAAGAGAGCTCGGGGGACGGCGCGTTCATCTCTTGATAGCGACGCTTGTTCTGTCGCGGCAGCTTGCGCGTCAGAACTACTGGAAATGATTTAGATCTGCGCTTCTCTTTGGGGAGAATGAAGCCGAGGGGAAGATTGTCATGTCCATATAGGGTAGCGAGGTACTGACCGGCAGGACCTTCCTTTTGAGCATCCGATGTCTCCGAGAGAGCAGACGCAGTTGGGACGTATTCCGAGGCCGGTGTCGACTCCTGACGCTGCTTGCCTCCACCAACTTGGTGCGACGGTTGAGGTGGGGCAGCAGTGCTGGCCTTGGCACGCTTCGGATTGCGACGGGGAGCGGGAATGTCCACGGGATCAGCCTTGCGCTTCTTCCCACTGGCCTTGTTGACAGCAGGCGGGGGTAAGGCAGGCTGCGGCATGGGAGACGACGCTGCGTCAGTGACGGGAGGTGCGGCGGGGGGTGCAGCGAGGGGTGCGGCGGGGGGTGCAGCGAGGGGTGCAGCGAGGGGTGCGGCGGGGAGGTGACCACGGCGCTTGCGCGTTGGTGAGCTCAATACGACAGGAGCAGCCCCAGGTGCATGCAAAGCCGGTTGGGAGACCACAGGAAGAGCGTAGTCCCCGGCTTCGTTCTTCACCACGATGCTGAAGTCCAAGTATCGTCGCGTTGGGTCTGGGTCCAAGAGGTTCAGCCTGAAGTAGCACGGGTCCCCCTGTCCAGTCACCCCGAGGACGAACTCGGAACCACTGAAAGCAATGGTTGTTCCAACGCGCTGGGGGAACGCAGCGAGCACGGGCATTCCTGGAATGAAGGTCAATTCGTGCCAAAAGGTGTTTATCAGGAAGCGCTCACGGGGATCGTGGCAGTCGTTGCCAAAAAAGGAAATACCCGCTGGCTCGCGCCCCTCGAAGACCTCGTTCAGGGAGAACTTGATGGCGGCCGCCAGTGAGCTCTGTTGCGATGCCGGCAACGAGCGAATGCCCTTGTCTGCGTGTCCGAGCTTCGTTGGAAGGGGAAGAAGATGGGGCCATCCGAGGACCATGTACCCTGCCTTGAAAAGCGCCGGACCGGCGGTCTTCCATGGGAACGTCCTTTGGCTCATGCTTGTCAACGTACCAAGCGGTTCGCTCCCGACTTGAGCCATCGACAACGCGCTCAGGTTGTCAAGGAGGTTGTCCCACAAGCGGTTCACCTTCATCGTCCGTTTTGAGCGCAAGGTGGAAGGACCGTCCAAAGCATCCAAGATGGTCTGGATGCCCTCCTCAACCTCCCGCTGCGACATCGGAGCCGTCTCCAGCGGCTGAAGGGGGTGACGTGGGGGAGCCCGTGCCCGCAACTGAGCCAGGGAGTCAGCAGGAGACGAGGGAACAGTGGTGCGCGCAGAGGCACGGGTGGGGGTGTCGGCGGGGGCGCGGGCGGGGGTGCGAGCGGGGGCGCGGATGGGGGTGCGAACGGGGGTGATGGTGGGAGCACGTGCAGGGCTTGAGGTGGGGTCGTCCGCCCCAGTGGCATCTGGACCGTCTTCGCCTTCGAGCAGAGCGTCGCGTGCCTGATCTGCGTCGTGGATCATCAAGCCACTGGAATGAAGATAAGTCAATAAACTGTTCCATCCACATGGGTAAAGGAGAGACTCACGCAACGTGATGCTGAGCTCGACTGAGCAGTTCTTCGTCGCTCAGCTCCCCATGGTACAGAGTGGACATGAACTGAGATAATCCCTCACTTGCAACAAGGGACGCAAGGCGGCTGTCATGCGATGCAACGCCTCCGAGTGCAATCATGAGCACTTGGAAGTTGCCACTGGTCTCGCCACGCTTGATCTGAATTGGATTAGAAGGGATGGTAAGCTGGATGGTAAGGTGCTCACCAGGGCCTTCATTTTGCCCAGCCATCCATCAAAAAGTTTTTGCCGGTTTCCCAGCGTCTGCAACTCCGTCATCTGCTCCCACTCGACGAAGGTGTCGAGAATCTCCTCCAGCCCAGTGGAGCCGTAACGCTTCTGGAACTTTGACCACGAGTTGGAGAGCTCTGGAGATCGTTGGCGCGGTGGGAGCTGGCCTGGGAACTGGCTGAGATCACCACCAGTGCCCCGTTGCCACTCGCGGCCTCGATAGCGGGGATTGTTCGCGTAGCGCTGGTACACGTTCCAATAGTAGTTCCGAGCGCGGAACAGCCTCGGGTATTGCTCGTGCAACTTGGCTTCAACTTTGGCCTCACTCCAGCCGGTCAGCTTCGCGGTTTTCACAATGAGGAGGCCGATCGCCTCTGCGGTTTCCGATACGAGTTCGCGTTGTTCTTTCGAACGTTCCTTCAAGATCCGCATCTCTTCCACATCCTCAGCCGGGATGTCAGGGGAATTTTCGCGGGAACCAGCGGTGACGGCGTCTGCGGCGGGGGTTGCGGCGGGGGGTGAGACAGGGAGTGCGACATTGTTGTCAGCATCCATCAGAGAAGTGGCGGTATTGGTGACGGGGCTGGCGGCGGGGGGTGCGGCGGGGGGTGCGGCAGTGTCACCAGCATTCATCGTAGAAGTGGCGGTATGTGGACTGAGAAGCGAGGGCCCGGTTTCGTTGCCATAACCACTGTATTGTCATCAGTAAACACGTCAGGGAGGATCGAGAAGTTTTCGCCACTCACTCGTCATCGTCCCAATGTTCGGCGAATGTCTGCTGATGGCCCGAGCCCAGAGCTGGCTGGATATAAAGGGAGGGCCGTGGATAGTCAGTTGATAGTTGGGGGCCTGGCGTCACGTCTTCCTCTCCCTCCGCGTCGATGTCAGAAATCCGCGAGTCGTCCAGACGTGAGAGGCTGGCAGGATCAATTCCATACTGGCCGGTGGTGGCCATGTCCGGCGGGACCTCCGGAGAGGAAAGGGAGATGTCGGGGTCGGTCTCGAAACGTGCGCTGGCGAGCAGCCGAGCCTGACGCGCCGCATTAGCCGAGTCGGCCAGATTCTGGCCTCTGCACGATGCGGTGATCTGCCGCCGGAGCTCGTAACCACCCCCTTCCTGCATCGGGAACTGCTCGTCGTCTTCATCACTCTGGAGATGAAAGAGCCCCCGAAGAGCTTCCAAGGGGGGATGCTCAGGGGAAAGGGTAGTAATGGGCGGAACGGAGAGCGGAGGCGATCTTGGCTGCACCTGCGGGGTCGCCAGGCTTGCATGAAGTCGTTGGGAGAAATTGGGGAGGGGAGAGATCGAACGAGGGACGGAAAAGGGGACATCTACAGCAGACCGTGCATCCACGGCTGAAACAAGGCCGGGCGGGGGGAGATTCGACAGCAATAGCCCCGTCGCGCTGTCCGCATCGGCCAATTCGTTCTGGGGAGGCGGCAGGGGAAAGGAAAAGTTGTTGGAGAATGGGTCGAGCGTGTCGGTCGACATTGCGGACGCGTTGTTATGCTCACTGGGCACCTTGGGCCTCGACGTGCCTGCACTTCCTCCCCGACCCTGCGATGCCATTCTTGTCGAGTTTGGACGCGTCAGCAAGTCGGGGTTAGAGGCAGAGGGTGTGAAACGCGAGCTTGGTCGGTTGAGCAGTGAATGGACGCATTGACCTTTGATGAAAAGAGGTGATCTGTGAGCTGGTTTTTTGAGAAAAGAGTACTAGAAGGTGAATGGATGGTGAGCAGATGCGAAATGAGCTCCAGAAACTCACCTACACAAAGGGCACCCCTGCAGACGAGGGAGAAGGAAAAAGCGCGGGGGAGGGCTATGCACGTCACATCAGTCGCGACATGTCACAACCCGTGGCAATAGCGGACCCCCACGGCAGCCCCTGCAGTGACCCCGCCATATTGGGCGGCCCCCGCCGCACCAGGTTTTCGCCCCCGCGAACAAGCAGGCGGATCCTTCCGAATCTCAGACGTAATTTTCACACACCTGACATCCCGGAACACGTCACCTGGCAGCCAATCGGATTGGGAATAAACGTTGTACATTTATCTATGAAGGAGCTATGAGGCAGTGGAGGGCCCTCAGGCCTCGGAAATGAATGGGATATGCTTGAATTACCCCCCTTTTCTTTTGTGAGCATGACTTCCACGCTTTCCGGTCAGAAAAAATACGGCACTTGAAAGTTGGTTAAGGACACTTGAGTCTCACACTGACTGAACACTCACCGTCATCTTGAAAATGGGTCGCCGTGCAAACTACCTCACACTTGCCGATCGGAAAGCTTCAAAGGTTGTCAGAGATGCTAAATATGTGTCCAGCATGCGGTGAGGCCTTATCGTCACTGCCGATCCTTCTCTAATGCAGCAGATTCACAGTGGTCAAGCCCAGCGCAGATTGACCAGATCGGCCAGAAAGGACAAGGAACTAGAGGAGATGAGGACTCTACCTGACACTGTTACACCCCCCCAGCAGTTGATCGACTATGGGACACGCGCAATACCCACAGAAAATGAATTTTTCCAACGTGCATTTTCAGATCCTGGAACATTGGATCTGTCGGATTGTAATCGGTGGCTTGGCATACCTCCTTTCATTTCCATGCAGGACGACACTCCTACTCACTCACCCGACTACCGTGCCTACACTTCAAATCTGAAGAATGTCATGCATGGAGTTCGAGCTGGCCTCCAGCAGTCCATGGACGCAAAGAGCCGCACGCTCTTTGAGAAGGGACAAATGAATCGTCTGGCAGACGATGCAGGCGAAGCTATTGCACGATGGGAGAAGGCATACAAGCTGAGAGAGCAGGGACTTTACCGTGAGGATGAGTTCTCACGGGAGTATGAGATGTTGGAACATTTTCTGCAGTGGGAGGCGAGAGGTTACTTGACACTATATAACATGGCATTCTTGTCTGAATGAATTCAATATGCCATTTTACTACCCTGACAGCACCCCCAGCGTGACACCCCGCGGCACCCCCACGGCACCCCCTGCGGCACCCCTCGCGGCACCCCCCGCGGCACCCCCCGCACCCCCCCTGCGCTTGTCAGCAGAGAGTCAGGACAATTTGCATGGAAGTGTCAGCATGAAGTTGGTGAGAGTGTGTCGTAGAAAAGGAATTTCCGGTTCAGTGATGTTGGATCCCAGCATTCCACGGAGAACAGCTGCAATCATGACAAGGACCCAAACACCGCAATCGTAACTGTTGCACTGGACTGCGATAGAAATCATGGGCTCTGCAGTCCAGGCCTCCCCGTCCATGCTCAAAGGGAGCGAATGTCCGTTTCGATGTGCCAGGAGTGTCATCCGGGTCACCAGTAACATAACATTCTGAAATTTTTTTAGCTGCTATGATGATAAGAAAAATGAAACATACCTTTGTATCAGTGTACCACGGACGCTTCTGAGCCAAGCTGTCAAAGAGGAGGAGCTTTTGTTCGTGTACAAGGACGATGACAAGAGCCCAGTGCTCCTGGGCTTGTCGGTGGACTGGAACAATCCAGACCGACTTTTTCCAATACTCTGTAGGAGCCAGACTTTTCCAGATAGCTTTATCGGGAGCATTGAAACGAACGCGATGCAGATCATATGTCGATAAAAGAGCACATCTCTGCGCAGACTGTGCATGCAAGGAGAAGGGTTGCATGCACCATGAGAGAACTGCTGCTGACACACCATTGAGGATGTGTCCATTCAGTCGGGCTGTGGAATCCGTGAGCAGCGCTAAATCGTTGGGATCTACGACAACAGTGGGAAGGTTTCCAGGGAGAGCAACAACACGGGGTTGAAGATCACGTATCACAGGAAATCTTGTGACGTGTGCTGTGAGATCTCTCACGAAATGAGTATCACAAGTGGATCGAGACTATTCTCGATCAGTATTATTCGTTGTCATGGATTCATAGCACATACTTTTGCAAGGGAAGCCCAGGAAACTTGGACATGGCAATGATCACGCTCGAGTGTTGCTGTGTCTTCATCGTCATCCATTTCCATCATATCTGTTACAGCAAGGGCCTCTTCGGAGTCTGAAGGACAGGCCTCAACTTCATCCGGGGATATATTCTCAGAATCAGCCCATGGGGACTCATTCATATCATCTTCAACAGGTTCAACCATTGACAAATTGACGGCAGGGTCAGAGGGTAAAGCGGCGGCAGGGGGTGAAACGGGGGGTGCCGCGGGGGATGCCGCGGGGGGTGCCGCAGGGGGTGCCGCAGGGGCAGAATTTTGCGAGTGGGTGGTCAACCTTGGATCAATGGCCAGAAGCAGAGGTTGTGGAATTTGCAACTGACGACGCCATCTAGAAGAAACACGCGAGAGGAATTTGGCTTCTTGTTCAAGCTCATGGTGCAGAATATGATCTGGTGTAAGAAATGTCAGGAAACTTGTCACAGAATAAACAGCAACGCACTCGAGTGGCGCTCCTTGGCCGACGCGAGCAGCAAAGACTCCTGATCAATCCAGCGTAGCATATTTTCACTCTCTCGGGACAGGCGGAGGTCTTCCTCATGACAGCGATCAAGTACATGGAGACTGGAAATTCCCTGCCGGACATTCTCATCACACAGCCACAATGGAACACCCCCCTCGGAGGGAGTGATCCATATATCTTCGAAGAGGTTGGTGTGAGACTTAAGCTCGTTCAGTTTGGTAGGCAGTGGGAGAGGGATAGGAACAGGGCAGTGTGGGGGCTGAATTTCTTCCAGTCGAGAGCAAAAGGAGTTGAACTTGTCGATTAGACGATGCAGCGTGGGCTGACGTTTTGAAAGGGCCTTCCGAGCTGCTTGATGAAGCTTTGTACCTAGATTACATATGGAAACATGTCAGTGTTGTGACGAGTGCGCATGGGGTGCGGCGGGGGGTGCGCGCGGGGGGTGCGTGCAGGGGTGCGCGCGGGGTGCATGGAAAGGAACTTACCCAGTGGCTCCCGACGTCCTTGGACAGCACGGTCTAAATTCTCCCATTCTAGGAATGTTCCAATCGCTTGTTTTCGTATCTGTATTTTGAGATCCCTCATCAGCAGCAGTGTTTGAACAAATTCAAAGGGAAGTCCAGCCAGTTCTGGGTAATGAGTCTCCAGGTCAAGGGAAGTGTACAGATGTACAGCTTGTTCACTAAGCTTGCTATGAGTGCATTGCAGATCTTTGATCGCAATGTGCGCTGAATTAGAGCTCTGTCGATCGTCAATGGTCTTCTGGAGTTGCTCCAGAGTGTCATCGATATCTTCGATTTGATTTTGAAGGCTGACTATCTTGCCCAGCTCGCGTTGGACACGAACAGGTGGGCCTGTGACACCGTGTTGAGAGCAAATTTTTTATGATGGGAAATGATATACTGGACTGAAGTGATACCTGGGCAGTCAGCTGAGCCTGCCAGTGAGATCGCAAATCCACAATGGTCACGCCTGCAGTGCTGATCCATCGTGTTGCTTGATTATATTTCTGTGGAATGTTCTTATTTCGTTGCCGTTCAATCCAACTCCCCAGACTGGTGATGCCTTCACAATTGACAAACGAAACAAATTCATCCAGGGTGGCTATTCGACGCGCAGCCTGCATATGTTTCAGAATCCTCGATTAAAAAATGATTTCGAGTCAGAGGAATTAACCTTCGTATCCTGGACCAAAGTCTTTCTACACCTTCTGAATCAGTAAGACCCATACCCGACTTCATGCGTGGGTTGAAAATCAATTGGCAGACCCATTGATGACCAAATGCATGCATCACATTCAGAGAGAATGATACACGAGATCGCAGATGGGCAGAAAGGATAGGGAACTTCAGAGAATAGTCAGCATTGTTATGGACTCTGTAGCGGGGGTGCGGCAGGGGGTGCAAGAGGGGGTGCAGAAGGGGGTGCGGCGGGGGGTGCGGCGGGGGTCGCAGCGGGGTCGCAGCGGGTTAAGATATGTGATGGTGGCGGAGAAAGCAGTCCATGAATGGAAATGCACGCACCAGATTGTTACTCCGGTCAAGAGCACAACCAATATCATAGCATTGTGTAATGGTCGCATTGGATGGCAGCAGTGAAGCCACCTTCTCCAAGAGCGCAATTATGTAGTGCTGCTGCTCTCCTGGTGTGTCTATGTCACACATGAACAGGACTTGCGAATGACGACATGTCAGTGCAAAGATGCCAGTGGAGTCATAGTGCTTTGGGTCCCCCTTTTGTTTGTTCTCATTTGCAGCAGTCCATGACTCTCCACAGGCCTCCACAATATCAGCAGAAATTGGAAACTCTTTTAGGGGCTTCGGAGATTTCCTTGCCAAAAGCACAGTTTCTTTGACCTTGTGAACCTCTTCAGGTGTCAAGAAGTACTCCTGACTGAACAAAGACGGTCCGTTGCCAGCAGCGCAGAGATGGCGATAGTTGAAGCAACCATCAGCACCAAACTGTACATCCCCACCACTGAGCAAAACATGTCAGTCACTGCTGATCAGGGTTTGAACGAAAATCAAACATAGCAAGTGGACGGCCCCATTCCTTCAGGGAGAAGCACGAAGGACACCGACTTTGTAGGACTCTATTTGCAGATCCAGGAATCAGTGAAAACTGGTCATCAGATTCAATGGTGCGGTTGGCAGGGATGAACAAGGCGGGGGTTGCGGCGGGGGGTGCAGCGGGGGGTGCAGCGGGGGGTGCCACGGGATGCCCAGCAGGGGGTGCAGCGGGGGGTGCATCTGACATGGACGCCTGGCAAGGTCCTGTCATCGAGACTGATGGAGATGACTCCGCATGTTCGGGGGAACTTTTGTAGATGGAAGCTATGGAATCCGTGGAAGATAATCTGGTGTTGATTTGACTATATTCCATGGCCAAGGCATCATTGACCATTTTTCGGATATGCCGCTGGATGCTGCTGTACACATGCACAGCCTGGGAGAGGGCTTGTCGTAGAGGATCAGTAGCATGTTCGCCATCAAACTAGGGTGTATATCAGATGTTTATTGCAAAAAGCAGGTGGAAAGAAGCAACTTACGGTCTTGGACATGAGCTCGAATCCTCTGGTGTTATAGAGGGTTGTCAGGGCATTGGTGAATGCTTGAATCGCAATGCAGGAGCGTTCAAATAACGCTTGGTATATTTCCAATGTATTCACTGCAACAGCAATCTGTGGCTTGCTAGGTGAGGTGGCGAGAGCACCATGTTCCAGTAGGACAGTGGCAGGTGAAACACAAGAACATGCTTGCACATCGATATGTTGAAAATCTGGTAATTTGTCAGACAAGATCTGGCAAGAAGAAATTCGAAACATACGTGCAATGTGGAGACATAGAACCCGAATTTTATTTTGGGTACAGGAAGGGTTGTCACAGTTTTGATAGATGGTTGCAGCAAGAGATGTGGGTGGGCATGCAAAAGATGATTTCCGAAATGCCAGGAGAGAGAGGGCAAGGTCAGGAATGAGATGGATCCAGACAGAAGAGGCTTGTGTAGCACGTGGTTTCCTTTGAAGACCATGGGGCCTTGCAAGAATCTCTGGAATGTATGGCGGCAGTCCAGCCCCCACACCCAACCCCGCGGCAGACCCCGCGACGGGCCCCGCAGCAGACCCCGCGGCGGGCCCCGCGGCAGCCCCTGCATCTGACGCCATGTCTTCCCACACATCTTCGCCCGTCATATTGGTTTCATCCACTTCCATTTGATCTTTAAGCATTGTATTTTGCTCTTTCCCGAGTCCAGAGGCCTGTGCCACCGATTCTGGTGGCTCTGGGTCAAGCAGGGAATTCATCTTTTGAGCAAGACGATTTGCATGAGCGTTACGGCCCATGGGGATTGTCAGCACGTTTCGGAGCTTGTGCCGTCCCTTTACTGGACTGGTGGGTCGAAGGCTTTGCCCTGAAAGTCTTACTGTCTGCTTTCTTGGTGATGGCTGTTTGGGGGGCATCCTGGGATAAAGAGCCAAGGAGGACCTTCATGAGAAAATACATGAGTGATTTGTCAAAGAAGGTGGCATCACCGTAGCATGAGTGGTGGTTAAACATGGAACTGATCAACCGCAAGGGTGACCCCACAAAATGATGGGAACATTCCCATCATTACCGCAGTGCAGCGGGCATTTTGCGCTCAGCGCTTCACTTTCTTAATTATCGAAGCTAGACACAATTGGGATAGCATCGGAATTTTTTCCGGCAGCCATTTGGTTTTTTTTTGCGCCCAGTCACGTGACCGTTTTGGCCGCCATCCGCTGCATTGTGCGCCATCGTGGAGAGCATGCAAAAACCCGACCAAATGGTGGCAAAATGGCCGGGATGAAGTCACGTGAATATGCGCCCACCACCCGCCGTGGCATGCGGGGGGTCGGTAATGACCCCGCCCGCACCCCCGCCAGCCCCCGCCAGCGTTTTAAAATTTTTGGTTCCATCTGTCACGTGCTTTTTTCGCCCGCCATCCCGCCCGCTCGGTGCTTCCACGTGATTGATTTTTTTTTCCCGCCCAGCTACCCGCTCTTACAGATGTAGACAAGTCACATGTATATATTTTCGTTCACCCCCCCCCCCCCCCCCCCTGCTGACCCCCGCATAGAGTATGCAATTTGTTGATCCCTTGACACAACCTCGACCGTGAGAGCCAGCGTGAACGAAGGCTAAGGCGCATTAGGATCCACGATTGGACTCGGCGAGCTTTGGAAGACAATCATCCCCTGCGAACAGACTTCCAAGTTGCGATACTGGCCAACCCTGACTGCTCAAAGACCGAGCCACACAACAATGTCCACTGCAGATTTCCTCCGGTCGGCCCTATATGCTGGAATCCCCGGATCCGTCGCATCCGTCCGTCATCGCCACACGCAAGCGTGTGCGCACATTCCGGAGAGTCGGGGCTGCGATGTCCTGAGATTCACCAGGCTATCCGATTCCGCCGCACAGAGGGCAGATCCTTCAGATAACCTGGCTGTAACAGCATATACGTGTCGAGTATAGTGATAGTAAGTATCAGTGGGGAGAACGGGCGAGCACCATATCAGAATGCTTCCGAGCAGCAAACATCAGCAATCAAGCATAGGGATCGTGATACGTGACACTCCTCCTCTCGACGGTGACTCGACGGAATCGGTGCCAGTATCTCAACACACACGTCGAATTCACGCGTCGAGAGCGCCCAATGACGAAAACTGGCAACTACCGCCCACCTGAACCTGCTTATGAGGACTGTGCGCTGGTACTCCTAGACAAACCCCTCCCCGCGCTGCCCATCGTCGTGATGAAGTTCATTACTTCCGGTAAGTCGATCAGTGATAAATGATGCAACTCCGGCGCCGAGACCTAGTCATCTTGAGCTGTCCGCTGGCCCGCAGCAGGGCACAAAGAACTCAGGTGACACACGCTGCGCCGTTGGCGACTTATAAACGGTAATCAAGACATTCATACTTCCAGTGTCCCTTACTCATGAGCTCCGATCTAGCTTCATCCTCTTATCGCCACGTCCTTCCAAACGGGCTGGTCTTGCGATGGTCCACGGCCGCGGACAAGGCAGGCTGCGTGCTTACCTCGTGCCTTGGTCTTCAGCAGCAGGAGGGGCAAGAGACGGAGAGGGGCATCAAGTTCATCGAGCCGCTCACAGACGATTCGGTATACAACGGAAGCTCGTGGGTCTTTGTCCTGCACATCGAGTGCATATACTGAGGAGCAAGCAGAACGAATTGGGCGATATGCGTTGACCCAGCGGCACCGACAACTTCGGCAGAAGAGGCAGACAGCGCGGACTACCCTGCGCAGATGCGACGATTGGCCCGGTCCGCGACAGAGCGCGTCGTCGCACTGCTGTACTACCTACCAGGCACAATCGCTTTCGACGGCGGTCTCGCCACCCTCCAACTCGGGCAGGTCCACGTCGTCGCGTGCAAGCCCGCCTACCGAGTGCACGGGGAGAAGAGCGGCGGCGCACACATCATGCAGATGCTGTTCGACATGGTAAATGCGCGAGCCATGCAGGATGGGTGCGCGTGCATGCTTGTTTCGGGCATTCCTGCCTACTGTGAGTCCTGCACGATGGCATATCATGCGGCACAGACTGACGATGGTAGACCGGACACAGGGGTACGAGTATGGATTGAGATTGGGTAGTGGCTTGGTCACACACCCGTCCGCGCTCTCTCCGCCCAAATCTGCCGACGCCGGCCGATACGCACTGCGCCAGGCCACGCAAAACGACGTGTCCGACCTGCTCAAGATGGCCCTTACCTCGCGGGAGACAGCGGATCTGTTCTTCAGCCGCAAAGACGACGCTGCACTACGGCTCCAGCTGGAACACCTCGTCGCCTCCGATACCGCTCCGTTCTTTGTTCTCGAAACCACGAGCCAGGCCGACGAGACTCCGCACATCGTCGCCGCGGTCGGAGTGGTACATCACAATCCCGGTGGGACACGCGCTTTCATGCACCCGCTGCTGTGGGACGGGGAGGAGGATGCGTGTGCTGTGACAGCAGCACTCGTCCCATTGCTTGGCCCCGCACTCGAGGAGGCTGCGAGGAAGATCGTCAGTGAAGTCAAGACGATCACCACGCTGCGGTGGTTGGTGCCGGATGCTCATCCGCTGTTTCGATGGCTGTTGGCCAACCAGGTCGCCATCACTCCACCGGATAATTCTGAATATGATCACATGAGTGTCTCGTGGGTCCTTTTCCCACCCGTTTGTACATGCAGGTGCTCAGTCAACCACACTCACAGATGGATCGCGATCCCCGAGTTTACGACGTTCTTCCAGGCGTTGCTGCCGGCCCTGAATGCTCGACTGGCACGAGCGCCGTTTGGCAAGAACTACAGTGCCGTGCTCCGTATCAAGGCATCCGCATCAGGCGCTGGGGCAATTGCTTTGCGTGTCTCGCACGGCACAGTGAGTATCGATCCGACCCCGTCGAGAGAAGGTGCGTTCTGCATTTGGCTCGTTTGACTTGCGAGCTGACGAGACCCTGGACAGAGTCGAATGTGATGATGCCACCAGCCGCGCTGATTCAGCTTTGCATGGGATTCCTGGAGTGGCGAGAACTGAAAGCCGTATTTCCGGACTTCTCAGTGGAGGGAGGGGTGCTGCCGCTGGTAGAGGTGCTGTTCCCTAAACGGAGCTTAGGATCCGTTGTAAACTGGTAATGCATGCGAACGGGATCGACGGTTCATGCGTCATGCTCGCAAGCGATGCGGCTGTTGCTGCTTACTGTCAAATCACCTAACTGGGGATTGTTCTTCTGGTAAAGAGTACCTGCGGCATGGATTGTCCGCCATGAATCAAACAAACGCCGCTCATCGTTTGATATTATGCACGAGAGCTTACTACAGTCCGTGCGGTAGCCTTCCGAGATCTGATGACAGACCGCATGTTTCGCCGATGGAGAAATTGATCACCACTGTGTCGTGTGGTTTCGCTCCCTCCGATTCGAGCCGGGCCTTGACGTGGATGTGACCGCATTCAATCGTTATACCGACGACGACATGCATATCTCTTGAGACTCGCCACTGGGGATGGAATTACAAGACTCAGTACTCTCTCCTCTGTCATATCATTTCAAGCGTGTATACAAGCGAAGAAGAAGCATCAGATTTCTGCCAGCCCACTCGTCCGGAACGCGACCGCCCTTCTGACAAAGCGGAGCCTCCCCAGCATCCGAATGACGGTGAAGACGACCCATCGCACAGGGGCCCACATCTTGCGGGGCGAGCTGATCAAACCCATCCCGTGTTCCGTCAACTTGATCACCTCCAGCGCACGCTCGTGTCTCCATCGAGCCCACTCCAACAGCCCGCTATCGTTCTCCGGCGCGCCGAGATGAGCGCTCAGGACCGGGCCCAGGCTGATGGAGTCGCGCAGGCCGAGACTCATGCCCTGTCCACCAAGGGGACTGTGGATGTGCGCCGCATCACCGATGAGGAGGACGACGCCTCCGCCGGGGAAGCGCTTGAAGTGGCGATCGGAGATGGCAGAGCGCGTCTTGTAGCGCGAAGACCAGTGCACAGTTTCGATTTGGGAACCTTGCAGAGGCCCGGGAGCCATGCGGTCGAACATCTTCTGCAGGTATTCGAGATCAGGCGAGTGCGGCACCGCACCCATCTGCTCAGGGATCCCACTGGCGATGCGATACACCGGTTTGGTGGCGTTGGGGTACGCTCCGTCGGGGAACTGGGCGATGAGCATGACATTGAAGTTGGCGATCCGGAGCATGATGCGAGGTGCGGTCGAAGGGAGAGGCGCGGAGAAGGACACATCACCCAGCGCCATCTGCGAGAGGTCCCCAAAGTCGCGTGGACCATCGCCCTGGGGGTCTTTGAATCCGATTCCAGCATGGTGTCTGACCTTCGGAACAATGAGAGGGCGATTCAGAATGCGCGCCTGGAGACACGCACCACAGATTGAGCTCCATCTGCACCGATGACGTACTTCGCCTTGATGACTTCCCCGGACTCGAATGAGACCTCGAGCATCCCAGAATCGTCGGTACATTCCTTGACCGAAGCGACTCTGAGCGGCCGGAAGACATGGATTCCGAGTTCTGTCAACTTGGCCAGCATTGCGCGCTCTGTGCGAGATTGAGGGATGAGGAGGCCAAATGGGAACTTGGTCTTGTCTGCAAGCAACGAAAAGTCGGCGGTGAGCAGATAAGACGGTCCTTCGTGCATGCCGAGGCTCCCGAGCTGCACGCCAAGGGGTAGGATGATATCCATGCACTCGATTTTGTCAAGGGCCTATTTGTCTTTCGGTCAAATACAGCAGACCGAATCAAGACACCAAAACGTACTTCGAGAGTCGCGGCGTGGATCACCATGGCGCGCGAGGCGTTCTCGCCAGGCTCAATGGCGTCGACGATCACCACATCCCGAATGCCTTGATGGTACAAAGAAAGCGCTGCCGCCATCCCGCATGGCCCAGCGCCGACGATAAGAATTGGAGTCTCAGCTGGCAAGGACATCCGGACGAGTAATTCATCCCAGAGACACGCTGTCAGGTTCTTATGGAGGGTTCGAAGCAGGCCAAATGGCTAAACGGCAGCCGCAGTCGCGTAAAAGCACACGACAAGGTCATGAGAAGACACGAGGAGCCGTGCTGATGGCCAGCTCGAACCGCACGTCTGCTGCTGTCGATCCTTCGACAACAAAACCAGGCATGGGAAACACAAAAGTGAGAAGGCGGGATTCCGCTGCCGCTGCTGCCGGACTTCGGCTAGCAACGGCCAGCAGCCTCATTAGTCATGTCTGCAAATGGTCGATGTCATTCGTTTTTCTTACCTGTCTACCACTCTGCAATCTTGATTTTGCTCCTGGAGCTGGTCTGGCATGTCATAGATGATGGTCGTAGAGCAAAGGGTCCCGTAGAATCCCATGATCAAACATGAGTGTCACGTGATCCATCATGTGGTGTTTACCCCAAGGGAATTAGTACAAGCCAGTTTAAGCCAGCATTAAAGTGTGTGAGCTTTTCTAGAAAATGACTTTGAAATGATGTCCATCAAATTATTGGGTAATTTGGGACAGTTCTTATTAGTGATCTGTCAGCTTGGGTTTGCCACCCAGTGACCTCCAATTATGACGTAAAATGGCTTCCAGGCCCTCCGGAGGCCATCAGACCACCCCCTACCCCCCCTGATTGGAGGCCATCCTGGAGGCACCTTCCTAATTGGGATGCTGCCTGGCCATTTATCCACGGCCTGCATGGTGGACTAGGCTTTGACCTAGATGTTCCCTTGGTGCTGTAGTAGTTAGTTTCATACCCCAGACCATGTCCTAGTTCACAAAACTGTGTATTTTCTGCTTGCAAATGGTGGACCACTGGGCACATAGAATCTGGGATTTGAGCGCATTAGCACTGCTCAAATGTATGAGGCAAAGAGATACAGTCACAACAAATTTATAAGGCCCAACCCATGTTGGGAAGGCGCCTTATCTCAGCTGATGGATCCATCAAATTTTGCGCAATTAGGAAGAATTACCATATATTCAATGCTTTATAGGCTACAACAAGAAGTATGTACATTATACAGGAGGTAGGAGTGAGTAGTAGTATCAGGTAGGATTAGTTGTTGATCCGATAGAAGTCATTGTCCTTGAGCTGTTCAAGACAATGTGGAAAAGACTTGTACAAGTGAATGACATATTTAAAAAATGATAGTGATGTCCATTCCTTGCGTGCAATTGCAAAGAGCTCCACAGGTGTCCAAATGTTGTTGGAACAAGGGTGGGCTCGGACATGTGACAATCAACCCAAAAACAAAGTTGAAAAGAGAAGTGAATTTGAAGACTGGAGAATACAACCAAGTAGCTACAGTATTTATACCCAAGTCCAGTCTGAGTCATATCTACAACTAATGAGTCATAAGGCTATGTACCGCATGGAGCAAGTAGTAGAACCATCCGGAGCATATGTTGTACAGCCTTGGATCAATAAGGATAATCCCTGGAACCTCTAGCCCGGACCGTCAGGTGCCGTGATCCGTGATAAGATAATCCGTGCCAAGATGAGATAAGATCGTCGAAGATAAGATTAAAAAGTGATCGAACTATGACATTACCCCCTCTCTAGGGTCGATGTCCTCATCGACTAGGCCAATGGGCATGAAGATGTTCTTGTAAGGGTCGAAGAGTTGTCATTGGGGGTATGGAAGGCGTTTGTCTCTGGGTTTGTAGCGGTGGATTAGATAATCCCAGTGTCCGGCTTCGAGCGTTGGCAGTAGGCAAATGCGTGTGTCTGGGTTGGATTGTTTCCTCTGCCAATCTCTCAGGATCTTCTTCGCGTGGGTAAGGTGACGTGATGGTTCCCAAGTATTTTTGCTATGCGGCCATCCCTTCCATTTGACCAAGTACTGTTTCCCTTGGCCGACGTTCTGTTCCTTCACGATCTCTTCGACTTCCCACTCCTCTGCTCCTCCGATCATCTTGGCTACGGGTCTCCTCTCTCGGCGATGGGGGGGGGGGGGTGGTTCGTGATAGGATGTCAACAGTGACTTGTTGAACACCGGGTGTCTTCGGTCCGTATCCGGCAAATCCAGCTTCCATGCGGCCGCTCCAACCTTCTCTAGTATCTCGTATGGCCCCAATCTCTTGTTGCTCATCTTCTTCAAAGGCCTGTCCGTCTCAATATTGTCCCCCTCTATGTACACCTTCATCCCAACCTTCAACTCCGGAACTTCTTTTCTTTGTTTATTGTAGTATTTTTTCATTTTTCATTTGCTTTTCCAATGCTGCTTTTGCTTCATCTTGTATTTCTTTGATTCTTTTTAAAAACTCCTCCGCCGACTTGTTCCTCGATTCCATCCGCTGCTCCACTCCCTTCCATGGGTGATATCCGTGATTGGCGTAGAACGGTGATATTTTGGTAGACGTGTTCATCTTGTTGTTATATGCGAACTCCGCCATTCCCAGCCACTCCGACCAGTCCGTCTGATGGTAATTGACATAGATGCGGAGGTAGTGCTCAATTTCTTGATTCATGCGTTCCATTTGTCCATCAGTGATTGGGTGATATGCGGTCCCCGGATTCATTTCCACGCCCAACATCCGATTCGTCTCCTTCATGAAGCCCTTGATGTATCGTGAGTCCCTGTCGGTGATGGTCTTGCGAGGCATCCTGTGATGACAGAAGACTCGGTCCCTGGTTAACTGTGCTACTCCTTCGCTGCTGATGTCAGTGCTAATCGGTTCAACATGGATCATTTTTGTGAAGGTGTCACACCACACATGGATTGCATCATACCCGTTACTGACTGGCAGGGGTCCGATTTGGTCCATTGATATAATTTCCCACGGCGCATTTGGAACCGCATGCAGGTGCAGAGTCCCCGTCCTTGCTCTCCTGGTCTTGGTCCGTTGGCATGCCTCGCACGTCTGGATGTATTTCCGAATCTGGTTTCCCATCCTTGGCCACCATTTCCTGTGTTCGGTTGATCCCAGTGTGTCCGACCAACGGTGTGTCATGGTGTAGCCCGATGATCTTGTCTCGCAGCTCCTCGTCCCTTGGTACGTAGAGCTTCCCATGGTACGTGATGAGCCCGTCTTCCTTTTTCCATCCAGCGAGTGACTTCTCCAAGGCCGCCTTGACGCTTCCATCAATTGATCGAGTGGCCTTGATTTCATCGATTAGCTGTTGATCCTGTCCCTCGAATGTGACTTCTTGTGACCGGAAGAACTTGGGCTTTAGTAGTGTGACGTCCTTGTTGTCGTTCTTGCCCTGATCATGATCCGCTCGTCGAGACAAGAGATCCGCCTTGCGATTGAGTGCGCCAGGCCAATGTCGTAAGGTGAAATCAAACTCTGCCAACTCCCTGATCCATCGGGCTTGTCGTCAATTGAGCTTCTGCGGTTTTCGGAAGTATTCGAGATTTTGATGATCGGTGTCAGGGGAACCCCCGCTTCGGACCGCTCTGCCTTTGATCAGGCATGTGATCGTGCTCGCGTGACCTGTCAGCTGTCACGCGCCGCGGCCCGCACTGCCGCGCCAAGCGCTTCTCTCTGATGGGCACATGGTCAGCTGTCCCATTGTTGCCACTGTCTTGGTTTCCTATTGTTCTCCAATGGCCATTGTACTTATTGTTCCCATTGTTCTTTGTTTGTCGCTGCGTGCTCTATTGTTCTTGTATCATATAAATAGTGGCGCCTGGCAAGGAGAATCCCCAACACGGTTTCTCTTTGGATTCTCCCTTGCCAGGTATGCCGGTCTTGTACCTAGCTACCACTATTAACATCTTTGGATTCTCCCTTGCCAGAACTCTGAGATCGGGTCTCGAGGTTGCCCTTACAATCGGTGAAGATCTCGAACATTTCTGTGGCTCCTAGTAGTAACTGTCTCCATTCGTCCAATGATAGCATGATTGCGAGCATCTCCTTGTCATAGATCTCGTAGTTTCGGTCAATGCATGCGAAATAAATGTGATTGGGCGCCAAACGCTGTCTTGGTTTTGGCTCAAAACGGATCCTGTTGCCCCTTCCGAAGCATCGGCTTCCAGACAATATTGGCCGGTGTCATTTGGCAGTGCTAGGACCGCATCCTCCGTGATTCTCTTCTTCAGCCCATCAAATGCTGCATGCTCATCCGTACCCCATGACCATCCTGCCTTCCCCGTCAGTCGTGTCAATGGCTTGGCAACCTCTGCGTATCCCCGGACAAAGCGCCGATAGAAGTTTGTGAATCCAAGGAAGGCTTGGACCTGTCTGACGCTCTTTGGTTCTGGCCATTCCATCACGCCCTTGATCTTGACTGGATCCATCTGCATCGAATTGTGCCCAATAATTACACCCAGATATTCGATTTCTGTGCGTTCGAACTCGCACTTTTCGGGTTTCAGGTACAACTTGTGTTTTTGGAGCAATTCGAGTACTCGTTTCGTGATCCGCCAATGTTCGTCCAAGGTTTCTGTGAAGATCAGGATATTGTCAAGATAAACTACCACGTGACCCTCGTTGGTCAGTTCTCGGAGTATGTTGTTCATCATGTTTTGGAAGGTTGCCGGAGAATTTGTGAGGCCAAAGAACATGACCAAGGGCTCATACAGCCCACGGTTTGTGCGGAACACAGCCTTCCATTCGTCGCCCTCTTTGATCCGTACGTTGTCGTATCCCCACCGGATGTCAAGCTTTGTGAAGAGCTTGGCGCCGCATAGATTATGGAGCAGTTCGGAGATCAGCGGCAGCGGGTAACGATTTCGGATTGTCATCGCGTTCAACTTCCGATAATCTTGGACGGTGAAATGCTGAGGGCGCGCTCACAAGTGAATCTACTATGAAAGTAAACCCAAATATAAACACGTTCACACTCCTCGTAATCAGCTTCTCAGTGTGTGAAAGATGCGAGGGCTTCGGGATGAACAGAACACCAGAATCACAACTCTCAATAGACGCAGATCCAATAGTCGCGGAAGACGAAGTCGACGACAAGAATTTATATATAGTAAACAATGGTGTCTCAACCAATATCCTCTATATGAACAAAACCAACACTAATCCAACCACAACCAACAATATCACAAGTCAGAACTTAATACGAAGTATTAAGATCCCTTGTAGTGACAGCGTCCAGATGGTGACGCAAAGCCCAAATATCAAGTCGACGCACTGCCAACCGATAGAACGAATACACTGAGTCGACGCACTGCCAACTAGTAAAACCAAGATGCCGCGTCGATGCACTGCCAACTAACAGCCAATATCTGATGTCCAAAACCCAAGCACAACTTGTCGACGCACTGCCAAGCAAGAAGTGTGGAACCAAAGTTCTCAAGTCGACGCACTGCCAACTGACCAAAACAACCCGAGCACAACTAGTCGACGCACTGCCAAGCTAGAGGTGTGGAAACAATCTCAACAAAGCCCGAAGGCGACGGCACTAGATGCCGCGACTAAACCAGATGCGGCGAATCCGACTTTCTGATATCTCAAAACTCAAACTCAAATCACAGTAGCTACAAGTGCTCTGGGGAGCAACTCGTCGCGACCAGGCAGGGGTAACAGAACTTCTGAGGGTGGAATCACGCGGCACGCAAATTGTACAAAACAATCTGATATGAGAGTGATTCACAGTCCGGGGGAAAGCTCCCCTCATACAAAGAAACGACGTGCTACTTATACTGTCTACGACGCTGCTTAGTAAAGTCCTGTACAACTGCATGGTAGCTACGCTATCTAAGATCGGTTGCCTTTTAGAGTAATTGAAAAGTTGGACGATCGGACAGGTCCTGAGTGATCAGGACCCCGCCCCATAGCCCATATGATACTTTTGATGTGGGTCAACCCACCGCGTCATACTTTGGAATACGACGTGCTGGATTGGCCAACTAGTATGTCTTGGCAGGTGAGTCCAACGTGGGTGCCCCAAGAAGCTGTATGGTCCTAGGCACACCAGACGTTCCTCACATGGTCCGGCTCACAGATCTAGCCGAGTCAGTTTCAGTGTATTTAGGTATGGGCGCGACTCGCCGTGACACTTGGAAGTGTCACCGCGACGCGTCCACAATGTCCCGTGATCGAATGGATCCTGACATGTGACAAGTCGTCGTCGTGGCATGATCTTGAGGAAAACGTCCAACCCAAAACCGGGAGTTACCGCGACAAGATTGGTTCAATCTCGTAACGCCAAGTCCTGTCCAGTAGTAGTTGTATTATTGAGAATGTCGCACATTGCCCAGCCCTTCAGCCCAAGTCCCCATCTGCAGGGAATGACCCTTTTCGAGAAGTCGCCGCAACAACGATCCCTTTTTGGGGAATTGTCATGGTCCAAGCATTCGTCACTAATGGCCCTGAGCCTGGTATAGACTCATAAGACCAATTCCACAGTAGTGGTCTGACTGCCTTGCTATCGTCGACACTATCCACAGTTGTCGACTGGGCGGTAGACCCTTAAGTCCTACTGAGCGCAACACTGTCAACCGCGACACGATACACCAAGTGGTTCAAGAGTAAACTCTGAAAAAGCGCAAAAATACGCCCTTACAGAGCTGGTGCAGAGGGCGTCTGGTAGCCAGCCTATCAACGGGCCGTAGCGAGCCATCCTTCTTCTTGACAAAGAAGAATGCTGATGCCATGGGTGATTTTGATGGCCTGATCCGTCCGCTGGCCAGGTTCTCTTGCAAGAACTCGTCGAGTTTGACCTGCTCGTTCCGCGATAAGGGGTACACCTTGCAGTCCACCGCTTTGGAGCCAGGTTTGAGTTCAATCGCATGATCCCATGCTCGTCGATCCGGCAGCAAGTTGAACAATTCCTTGGCGAATACTTTGACGAATCCCCGATATTGATCCGGGATCTTCCCTTTGGTCATTCTCTCCTTCTCCTTTTCCGCTTCTTCTGCGAATTTCTGCGCCGGCATTTCCTTCAGCCGTAGATCCACCTCCTTCCCGAAGTCGACCAACAGGATCGATTCTCCCTCTTCCAGATCCGGTGCGTCCGCGTCCAGGTCAATTGCATCCATGTTGATCATTGCTTGGTACTCCTCGTGACCTCCATGTGACACCGCTCTGGGCATCGGCTGAATCTCATCGTCTGTTCTTGCCAATCCACCTCCGGGTTGTGTTCCGTCAGCCAATCAAGACCAATGAAGATCTGGGCCTTCCCTAGACACGTCAGAAGGAACGTGCGTGTCTCCTCATGAGGACCGATTCTCATCCTTAGGTCGGTGTAATGCGTGATCCGACCGCTGATGTTCTCAGTGTTGTCGGCGTTACGAGCCATAATGGGTTGTGGAAGCTCTTGGATATCCAGCTTCTCTGCCCGTGCGTAGTCGGTATCAATGCAGCAGGTACTGCAGCCGCTATCAAGCAGTGCCTTGACTCTGCGTGTTTTCCCCGAGTCCAGACCCGTGATCTGGACATATACATCCATCGAATGCCTCTTTCTTTCGGCCTGTGTCAGGGGAACCCCCGCTTTGGACCGCTCTGCCTTTGATCAGGCATGTGATCGCGCTCGCGTGACCTGTCAGCTGTCACGCGCCGCGGCCCGCACTGCCGCGCCAAGCGCTTCTCTCTGATGGGCACATGGTCAGCTGTCCCATCGTTCCCACTGTCTCGGTTTCCTATTGTTCTCCAATGGCCATTGTAGTTATTGTTCCCATTGTTCTTTGTTTGTCGCTGCGTGCTCTATTGTTCTTGTATCATATAAATAGTGGCGCCTGGCAAGGAGAATCCCCAACACGGTTTCTCTTTGGATTCTCCCTTGCCAGGTATGCCGGTCTTGTACCTAGCTACCACTATTAACACCTTTGGATTCTCCCTTGCCAGAACTCTGAGATCGGGTCTCGAGGTTGCCCTTACAGCCTGGTAACTGCGCAATTCCTGCGCCAATCTGCTGGGCTGGGGGCCCTTCTGTTTCTCGGCCGCCAATTTTCTCTGGATGGCATCTGGCACCCTGGTGCGTTTGGGTGCTTCTGGAACCTTGATTTTGGCAGATTCCTTAGGTGCTTCCTCCTTCTCCAAGGATTGAGCCTCCGGAGAGATGCTCCCCTTTTCGGTCTTTGTTGACGTGGTTCCTTCTCCACGAGCCATAGATACGTAGGAGTCCAAAATTAATTTATCTGCAGCTTTCTGATCCTTTTTACTCTGTAAATACCCTCTATTTAAAGCTATTTTTCTTTGGCGTTCTTTTTCCATATCGGCAAGGAGAAAATTGGGAATATTGGTGCGTAGTGAGTCCGAGATTGTGTATGTATGTGCAGAATCGTTCATGTCTTTAATCGAAACAAGTACAGAAAATCGTCCATAGTCCGGACGCTCCACCTCCTTGGCTAGAGGAGTGGACCGCTTCAAAAACCCTTCTCGTTCAGCTTCTCGGCGATCTCCTTGAGGAACTCGTTGTCCTTGTCCCCGGCAAAAAGATCCCGGGCCTAGCTCTTCACGTGCCCAATGATCCCGAGGTGTGTTTTCCCAAAGGTCTCCGCAGCACTCCTTGTAGCTACCGTAAGGCTTGGGTCGGGCTCAACGTTACCTGTGGCCTGGTGCTGTTTGCTCGATATGAACCCTTCACTGCGATCGCAGAAAACGACTAGATGATTCGGTAAAAGGGTGAGTGTGGTGATAAGGGTTAAGAGGATATAGCGGGCGTAGCGGTGCGGGATGCAGGGTAAGAGGTATGAGGTAGGAGGGTATGAGGGGAGTCTTCGAATTTTGTGACAATCAACCCAAAAACAAAGTTGAAAAGAGAAGTGAATTTGAAGACTGGAGAATACAACCAAGTAGCTACAGTATTTATACCCAAGTCCAGTCTGAGTCATATCTACAACTAATGAGTCATAAGGCTATGTACCGCATGGAGCACTGGTCATGGGTTGTAGTAGAATCTTCCGGAGCATATGTCGTGCAACCTTGAATCGATAAGGATAATCCCTGGAACCTCTAGCCCGGACCGTCAGGTGCCGTGATCCTTGATAAGATAATCCGTGCCAAGATGAGATAAGATTGTCGAAGATAAGATGAAAAAGTGATTGAACTATGACAGGACATGACACTTGAGCTCAGCCCAGCCATTCTCAATGGTTGACATGTCAGGTGATTTAGCTGGCCATGGGAAGACTTGGATCCCATTGTCACGGAACTGTCAGGGGTACCCCCGCTTCAGACCAATCAGCCTGGGATCTGACATGTGATTGCGCCTGTGTGACCTGTCAGCTGTCACGTGCAGTGGCCTGGACCACCGCGCTGAGCGTTTCTTTTTGATGGCAGGTAGTGCCATTGTTCCTATTGTTCTGTCATGGCCATTGTACTTATTGTTCCTGTTTGTCGCTGCGTGGTCTATTGTTCCTGTATCATATAAATAGTTGTGCCTGGCAAGGAGAATCCCCAACATGGTTTCTCTTTGGATTCTCCCTTGCCAGAACTCTGAGATCAGGTCTCGAGGTTGCCCTGACACTAAGTATTGTGAGCAGGTTGTGGATTTAAATTGAAAGCAAGATGTCCTTCACAGCAGAAGAGACTCTACTTTTATACTATCTGGCTACTGTTTTGGATTCATCAAAACATGAATTTCTAACACATTTCAGGACCACAAAATGCAAAAGATCTTCAGCATCACAAATGACTCATGGATGATGAGTCAGTGTGTAGTGATCATGATGATACTTCATCCCATTTACTGTACTATTACAACCACATGTTCATGTCACCGGTCACCAGGACCCCTGATCTGAACATTACATGTACATGTACATGTCACCGGTCATTGGGGGTCCTGAACAAGATGACATCGGCAGGCTTTGGAGGGTGTTTTACACGATTTTTGGTGTGTACGTAGACTAGACAAAGTGATTTGGAGATATGATCTAGTACGAAAGTGCTTCATTGACATATTTTATATGCCAATAAGGGCTGTTTCTGGCCAAAATTTCAGACATTGCTCAGGAACAGACAAATGTGTCCAAAAACGTTGCAAAGAGGCATCAAAATCCCTTGTGGCTACTATCAACCCCGGAAGCCGGTGCCTGAGATCTGCCAAGCATGGCAACCATTGTGAACATGAATGAACCTATCATGCACATGTCATCGGTCTCTCCGGCCTGTAAACATAAACACATTTGAACATAACGTGTCACCAGTCACACCCCAGGCAGTTGACTTTCAGCTCATTTGCAAACTCCGAATTTTGATCATATGTCCCTGGGGCAAGGATTTAATATGTTGTTGGGGAATGTCCTAGGACCCATAATCCACTTTTACTATGGGCATTTATCTACTCTGTGTCTCTGAAGAATGAATATACTCAAGTTCGACTGATATTCATCATTTGATTGACTGATCAATCTGCCAATGATTGGTGATGATATTGATGATATTGATTGGATCTTGTATGTGCCTCCAAAGCCTCCAGGGTCTCTCATCCTCTAATTTCAACATTCTGCTTCAATCCAACTAGTATGTAGAGGTAAGATAGCTGACAAACGCATCCATCGAGTCATGTGAAACGTGACCCGTCATGCGTAACGGCGCAAAATCCTGGAGGCACTTCCAATGAGAGCCGGAAATTCGATTTCGAGTCATAATAGGGTTGTTGTTGAATGTGATCTACTGTGTTGCTCTAAACTCCTCTACATCTCTCTGATACTCTGCTGGTAAAGTCCGATGTCCTCAGTACTTCTTGTTGGCCCAAGCGGCCTCAGCGCCGTGCACATCATCTTCTGTGTCAACTTCGAGCAGTTCTTCCTTGGAATTTGTGTCAACGGCAATGACGTCGGGTGATGCACTGCGAGCTCGTTTTTGGGGTCGTTCCTCAGCATATTGACCCAGATTCTTTGCTTTATTGCTTCCCTTGCGCTTAGGCATCTTCTGTGTTGGATAAACAACAAGTGGCTCAGGTGGTAAGGGCACGAAAGCAGAATTGATCGGAGCATGTGACCTACACGTGATGCTTCACGTGATTTGCGCAAAATCTTAGAGCATGTTTTGCTCCAAGTCAAAATTGAGCGAAAGTGGAACCACAGAGTTGTTCATAGAGCTCCTAGGTAACATTCCCGTAGTTCAGTTTTGTAATATATATGTCCCTGCTTGCTCATTGTTGTTGTCACAAATCAGGCCACGTGACTCGATGGATGCGTTTGTCGGCTATCTTAGAAATGGCAGAAAATGCTCAGCCATGAGAACATCTATCAGTTATATTAGCATATTACCCAGAGTCTTCAAGTAATAACCTGTGGAGGTGGTGGAGGCCAGTTCTGCCATTTGCTCCAGGATCTGATTTGCATGCTGAGATGCATTCCTAGAGGAACCTTGGCATCGAAATGAAGATATCCAACACTAAACACATAGTTTCCGTGATTAAATCTCCAAAAACCGCTTTCAGTGCTTGGCTGTAGAGGCAGTGGAGAGCTTTTCTGCCATTTTCTCCAGCATCCAATTCAAGTGCTAAGCTGTTGACCTAGGGAGCCCTGTGCATCCAAATCAAGATAAAGAATGTGATGAACATGGTTCATGTGGCTGAATCCACAATAACTGCTTCCAGTCCCAAGCTGCAGAGGCAGTGGAGGCCAGTTCCGCTATTGGCACTAGTATCCAATCTATGTGCTGAGCTGTCATTTAACTGATCTTTGGGGTTCAAGGGAGATTTGAGAGTGGCTCTAAAGGGTCTGCGGACCTCCTGACATCTTTTTTACGCCCTGGGAGGCCGTGGAGGCTGTAGACCATTTCTGCAGCAACATCTCATTTTTTGCATGCAGGCCCCAGTTTTCTCATGCTTGGTCTTGCAGGAATGTGTATCGATTTGCCTCATACACTCAAGCAGTGCTAATACGCTCAAATCCCAGATTCTATGTGCCCAGTGGTCCTAAGGCTCCAACCATTTCTGTTTATAAATATTTTAAACAGTTATAACTGTTTTTGTTTCCGTTTAATTTGTGGGAGTCCTCAAACAGTAAACATATAGTAAATAAACAGTTAAAACAGTTTCAATTTGTGCTTGAAATGGACTCTGTGAGACATTGCCTGTGGATTGCGCACAAACAGAGTTACATCCAGGACAATCACACCAAGATTAGAGTAGTCAAAATTAGATATGAAGTACATGGCCTGACCTGGCCGGTGTTCTCTGATTGTTGTCTATTTACCAGCATCTCTACAGAGAGATTGTCAAGTAGACCCTATGATTGAAATTGTCAGCCTGAGATTTGCCATATAGGCCCTGTATTGTGAGCATCTTGCATGATGAAGGCGCAGACATCATGTGAATAAAAATGTGTGACAGGATTGTGACCCAATGCGTTGTGGATTGATCTTTTTCTGCACTCTTGGGTTTCTGCTCATGTCTGCTCCTACTCCTGTTCACTCCTTGCTACCCACCTGCACCTGTGTTCCATCAGCCAAAATCATCAACAAGAACAATGCTGAAGCCCGCAATGCACAACA